TAGAGTTTGCATCGGATATAGGAATAAAATGGCCTCTCGTTTAAAATTTTTAATAATGATATGGGTAATCAAAATGGTATCATCAACTGTTTTCATTGATGTACACTTATAATGAATGCATAGTCAGTCTAGGTATTATTATATGTCATTGGTAGTATGATAATGGTGCTCAAAGATAATCAATTTTATATGAACATTTAACCATATTTTATTTGTTCATATACCTACAAGAATAATGGTATTAAACGGCTATCCCAATATTGTAATAAAATAAAATATTAACGCAAAGCCTGAATATTTTGCTCATGCAGAAAGGTTTGGACATCCATTATTAAGGAAATTTCAAGGCTTGCCTAATTTTATTTTGGCTATCTTAATTTAAAATTTGCTAAATCGAGCCGTATAACAACACTACTACGGATGGAGATCAATTTTTTTAGACCCAACCCGGATTTTCATAATAATCCGATTTTGAGCGACCCGGATTTATTTTCGAGTCCCGCCCGAGTTTCTAAGTTGATTTTACTATAATTTTTTGCTGTAATTTGTGAATGGTTTTCGAAGAGAAATCGCAAATCTGAATAGCGAACGAAATGTTAAATTAGATCCATCACCTAATTTTTAAATGGTTAATTTGATTTGTAATTTCAATTTATTTATAAATAAAAGACATTTTTGGCCCGGTCATGGTTTTTTATTTTTTATACCTGCCCCGGCCCGTATTCCTAAAATTATACCATGTGACGGTCGAAGCGGTTTAGGGAAAAATAGTTCGGGCCACACTGGACTCCAATTTTATAGATGAATTTTCGGGCCTGTCCGGACTCCCATCAAACGCTAAAATGGCTCGATTTAAGCCGATTTAAAAAAAACAGTTCACTCAATATCTTGGCGATTGAGTTAACCATTTATTAAAAATGGCCTTAAATCGAGCCGTTTTAAATGAGGGCTCACAAATGGTAGAGATAAAAAAACATAGATTTTTGTTTTTTTTGTTACCAAAAAAAACATTCTTATACAATTTTTAATTATTTTCCCCTCTTCATTGTCATTTGTAATTTTTGAAACTCGAGAAACTTGAATGTATAAAACCTTTTCTTTGCATTAACTTCCACTTCGATAACTAAACTACCATAGTAAGTAGCAACTAATTTTTTATTTTATTTTTTTTTATACATTTCAAACTCTACACAATGCTTTGATTTATTATTCAAGTTTTTTTTCTCATAGATTTTCGTAAATAGTCAATTGTTACAAAAAAAATAGAAGTTATTTTAAATAAACTTTGAGAATTAACTAATTATTATGGAATCGTAATATTTACAAAGATTATTATAATTATTTATTTTTTTTATTTACGATTCAACTGGACAATTGAATAAAATTTAAAAAAAAATTAAAACAAATTTTATACTTTTTTTTTGTATGCAAAACCTGGCCCGAATATTTAAAAATAAATTTATAACCGGCCGGGTCTGGCAAATGATTTAGCGGACCGGACCCATCCGAGTGCCTGACAATTTATACATAAAAAATTAGACAGGGCCTCGCAAATCTCGTGGCAAGCCCGGGCATTAAAATTTTGACATATATTTTTGAATTTCAAGTCTTATATTTCTATTTTTAGTTATTTGGAAATGAATTATAATCATGCTTATTTCTTTGTATTTCAAGAGCTGTCTAACTTTTAAAACATTTAAATCTATTAAATAAATATTGTAAATTCATAAAAAAAAATATTAGACAAGTTATTTAGTTCCAATTATATATATTCAATTACAGATATTAAATACAATTGATTTATAAAACGGTTGTTTTTAGTAGCGGTGTTAAACGGCTCGATTTGAGCTAATTTCTAAGAACGGCTAACTTGATATTTTAGCCAGAAAAATATTACGCAAGTCCTAAAGATTTAGCTCATAGATGGCACAAAGGTTTGGACATCTATTAGCGGGAAATCAAGGATTAGACCATATTATGACTAAAATATTGAATTAGCCGTTTTTAAAAATTGGCTCAGTTCTAGTCGTTTGACACCACTATTTTTAGTAAGAAATTGATAGGCATAGAAGAGAAGATATTAAGCATCTTACATTGGGGGAATATTAGACATAGATATTAAAAATGTGATTGCCGGAAATTCATTCAAAAATATATAACGGGTCATGTTTAACCAGCCAAGACAACTTCTGTAATTCGGATCATATGCTATTTTTATGAAAAAATGAACTCCTAGAGGATAGAAAAGCAAAAATGTGGAACATATGATAAAATCTTTTACTATGTGAACAAATCTCGGTCCACGGGTAGGACCAGACAAACTCCCGTAATTTTTTTTACGTGCCGGGATACCATTATGGGACATTTAAAAACTAAAGATACCTCTTGTTATGACATCTACAATTTAAATTACAAATTATCTAAAAAATTAATCCAGATTTAAAAAAAAATATAAAAATTCCTTCGGGCCGGATTTGAACCAGCGACCTATGGATGACTATTTTTAAAATCTACAGTCCACCGCTCTACCAACTGAGCTACCGAAGGATATAATGCAAATGCTTTATTATTTTATTTTATATAATATAAAAAAAAATAAAATTTGCATGATTGATATATAAATTTTTTGGTAAAAATGTATATTCTCTATATAATATTTACATAGTGAGTGATGAGATTTATGGTATTTTTTATTAATATTTCAAAAATATGTCACAACACATCAAATTTGTAAAATTTAGATTGCTACGTCATTCATCTACATTGAATTTAAAGCGAGTAGCAATGGACGTCTATGAGGTTTCGTTTATAGTAACCGCTAGTGACATCGCTCTTCGTCGCGATGCGCAAAATATAAAATTTAATTAATTAAAATAGGAAACATTTATTGTGATATTGAGAGTGATACGATTAAAACGGCTTGCCGTTATAAATCAGCTCTGACATCGTTTTGAGATTCATCGCGGTTATTCTAATCCAGACAGACATTATCAAGAGCTCCGCACATACATGTCAAATATCGAATCGATCTGACGGAGACTGGTCGTTCCGGATTTTGATTTTAAAATTTTCATTCAATCCGTTCTTGTTAAATTTTAAATGCGTCTCTTTTTCCTAAAATTTTTTTATATAAAAATAAAAATAATCTTTTCAAGTACTAACTAAGGTTTAAATAATTTATCTGTTTTCCTTATTTCGATAAAAGATGGCATAGCAATCCCCAAGGATTGTAAATAATTATTTAGGCCTCTTTCGCCAAAAGATGGCAAAGAAATCCCTGATTTAAGCAATTATTAAAGCCATTTTCATCAAAAGATGACCAAGCAATCCCCGAGGTTTGTAGGGTAATTATTTAAGCCTATATCGCCAAAAGGGTGGCATAGGTGAATATTATTCTTTTTGAAAAATAAACAGATGGAATTGGAAAAGATATTTATTTTGGGAACATGCACGATCTAAAAAAATATGACTGACATGTAGGATTTAACACTTTAACGCTATTTATCTACCCGATGCGAAAAATAATTTTATTCGACCCTTTAAAAAACGCCAATTTATTTAAGTTTTTAAGAAAAAACAAAATCATAAAATAACGAACTATGTTCGCCATTTTTAAAATGAGAGTTGCGAATAAGTAGCGTAAAAGAATATGAATTAGTAATTTTATGCAATATAATATTTGATATTAAGCATCATTCATTCATTTAGCAACATTGGTACCCTTAAGAAGCCTTTCCTCGTTTTGTGACATTAAGCAAAGATTCACTTTTTGATCCACAAAGAATATAATTTTGCGGCAAAGTGCTGCCGTCCTGGCTGCCACTATCTCCAGTTAGCATGGACCTATTACAATAGGATGCAATCAATTTTTTATTTGGCATCAATATCTTATTGATTCCACCTTAAAAAAAATAAATTAAACTAGACCACGAGGTGCTTTATTCTTCAATCACTATTTATAACAATTATTTTTCATGTTTTTTCTTCTTCGTGGAATGAAAGATCGTTTCTTTTCTCCCTGTCCACTTAAAGTTAAATAAAAAGCTTGGGGAAATGGGAAGGGCAAATAGATGAGGTTTTTTTTATTCCATACAAAATAAAATATGGAATTATAGATATCATATGATGAGATGAGATAATCATTATAATATTTTCCATATTTTTTGTTTTGTTATATACATTATAATTAAAAATGTGTGCCTCTTTTTTTTTAAATCACAGATGATTGATTGATTGATGGATACTTTAATTTTTTCACATATTATATTATTTTTTTCTTTTCATGATGTCTTTTTGATTGATTGATTGATTGATTTGAGTTACACACCATAAAAAAGGAATGTTATGTAAAAAAAAAGAGAATAAATGAATATTATTGACACGGTTTTGTTTTACCATCTTCCTTTTCTCATTTAAAAAAAATAAAATTAATTTTTTATCGATTTTCCTTTCTATTTTTTTTATTAATAATCGAATCGCGCGCATAATTTATTGGATAAGATGTCGTCTTAGCTAACTTATTTTATATTTTATTAAACGCCGCTTTTTTCCCAACCTAATAATGTTTTTTGACGTCCACGAGGAAAAAACGATTTTTTTAAAATTATATCAGCTGATTTTTTTAAAAAAAAGAAGTGAAATATGATCATAATTTCAGAAATTCTCTTGTGTCTAAAGGGGGAAAAAGTTGGGGGAGAGAGGGGATGAGCTTGCTGAGAAAGCATCTTAGCTAATGATCAGTGAGATAGACACGTGTCTTCCTAAATCGTCGGTACCGAGCACGGTTTTTATGACAACGTAATTTGGTCTAAAACCGATAGAGCCAACAATTGGTGTTAACATGTTAAGAGAAAACGAATATATTCGGTCGGGCTCGGATCGCGCACACTTAGACTGGTTTTGACGGTTTGTTATGAGGAAATATAATCAAAAATTTTATATGATTATTGAATGAATGACTAAAAAAGAATTTTTTTTCAAATTGTTCTATATTTTAAAAGGCATCCTTTGTACCCTCTATTAGCGCTCATTTTCGAAAAATGCGAACTAGCCACGTGTACACCCAGGGACACTGTCTCAGCCAATAACAACGTAAGCGACATTTGTTCGTCCGAATCTTTCGCCGAAGATATCGCTATTTTTGCCAAACAAGTTAAATGAATCATTTTTATATTATTTTATAAATCCTTATATTATTAATCCTATCAAGGTAAAATAGGTTTGCCTATAAAAAGGTCTCTAGAGTATATACAATTAGGCATTTACGCTAGGGTTACCAGATCCTACGACTTTTATCCCTATATCACATTTTCTCACCATCATTCTTTTATTGTTTTATTCCTCACTCTTTTGTCTTTTCTCAAGATTTTAACAGATAAATATCACTTGTCTCTTATGATAATCATATTTATCTATTAGAATGCTAGAGGGTGAGGAGGGTGGTTCAAAGTTCTACATGATTCTGAATTAGAGCCACACAAGTTGGCCGAGCCCGATTGGCCTTATAAAACATTCATATATCAGCTGTTGTTCTTATTGGATATCTTCTAATATATTAAGGGAGCAGTGTTAGAATGGAATATATTGTAAACTAATCTTCACCATTACCTTAAAAAAGCGAAAGGAAGAAAAAACTGTTATTTGGTTTTTTTGAGGAAATATTGATAAAAATATAACATATCAATTTCCCAAGATAAGAATTTAAAAAATGATTTTTTTAAGGAAGATATGTCCTGATGAATCGGATGATCTTTTTCATAAATATTAAAACCTTGTTTATAAAAGCCCCTATGGAATGGGGGGCTCATTGCATCAAAAGTAGTGCTAATAGTTGCTGTAAACGCAGTGCTATTAGCTGCAACAGCCGTAGCAAACAGTGCTAATAGTTGCTGCAAGAGCAATGATAAAAACATTGCTGATAAATGATTTTGTTTACACAATAAAAGTTGCAAAACAATTATACTATCTATTAAAAGAATTGTTTTTTAAAAAAAATAGAAATTATAATTTATATTAATAAAATGATCATAATATATATCAGAGTCCTGTAGAGGTACCAATTGGGTCTATAAGTGGATTCCGACCCAGTTCCTAGTTTTATAACGGACCGCACCTTAAGAGGTAAGATCAGGGCTCTCTCTTATACTGAAGCCTTTACATTCTAGAAAGCACCCAACTTTTGGTTAGCTCTAAAATAGGGTACATATAAGTATTTATCTTAAAAAAACACAATTTCATCTAAATCTTCAAGTTAATGCGCATGGATTTTTTTAAGGCTAATAACTTTTAAAACCTTATCAGAGTTGGTCAAGTAAAATGCGATTAATAACACTGACGGCTCTGGTGCCCAAAAATTTGAATTTGCGGGGCTCTATTCTCAAATTGAAGGCACTTTAATATTTGCTTACTAAATCTCACGCCATCTTTGACCATCTGTTTATTTATCAGTGATGTTTATTAAATTTATATTTTTAACTTTTTTACAAAAACAAAAAATATAGCTTCAATCTGAAAAAACATTTTACGTGACAAATTCCGAAATCGATTCTTTGGTAAATAAAAAATTTTAAATTTATAAGATGTTTCTTAAGTTCCGGCCAAAAAAAACAAGGTTTAATGTTCCATTTAGGGAACGTTCTTGAAATGTATTTTGATCTTCAGTGCTTAGAAATCATCTTTTTATCAATATAATAATATCATTAAGTAAGGATTGCATTAAATTATTATTATAATTAAAAAAACTGGTATGCCAATTGCTATTAATTAAATGGTCATCATCGAAACTAATATCATCTCATACCAATTTTCTTTGAAATTTTAGTAGGAATCTCCCATTCACTCTCATAACCTAAGTGAACGTAGAAAGCAGTGTTGTTAGACAGCTCGATAAAGCTCATTAACAAAAATCGGCTAAATTAAGATTTTAGCCAAGATATTGTTACCTAAATCTCGAAATTTCTCCAATAGATATCCGAACCTTTCTGCCATTCGTTAAACATAATTTACGATTAGCTAAAATTTTTAGTTGACTCGTTTTTAAAAATTGGCGAAATTGAGTCCTTTAACCACACTAGGTAGAAAGATTATCCAATCTTGAGTTTAACCCAAGCAGATATAATTACTATAAACACGATAAAGACAATACCACTATTAGAGGAGTGTTCTAGCTAGCATTTTTATTTGTTCAATTTCTTAAAGACAATTAGATGGAGTTTTAAAATTTTGATCAGATTTCATCCATTTAAATTTTTTTTTATCAGCTGCGCTGGAAAAAGCTTCTATTATATTCGACTATTAGAGGATTGTTCGAGCTAACTTTTTTTGTTGTTGAGTTTCTTAAGACATAGAAGGAGTTTCAAAATTTTGATCAGATTTCATCCATTTCAATTTTTTTTATCAGCTGATATTATTTCCTCTCACTCACCGTTTAAAAAAATCAGCTGTGGAAAAAGCTTCCGATTATATTATATATTATTCGACCGGAATGATCTGGAAATGATTGTTCCGTTCATATAACTTACTAAAAGTTCCATTCTAGTGAAGTCCTTGACATTTCTTTAGGATGTGTCCAAAATTGCAAAAATTTAAATTAGCAAACTTTCGAAACTTTAATGACTTAAAGCTTTTTCTGATGTAAAAATAAAAACATGTCCCAAATAAATTTATAGAAAATTATAACTTCTGCCTTTTATAAAGAGATTTTGGACACAACCTTTAAAATAAAAATTAAAAATTTATTTTGTTAAATTTTAATATAACGTTTAGATGATCCAAGCTATTCAAGTGATGAGGTTTCATCTCCTAGAATTAGAAAAAGTAAAATAAATATATAAATTTTTTTTGATTAAAATATTATTAAAGAAAGAAAAGTTTAAGAAAAAAAATGAATATTTTTTAAAATATTTAATTTAAAAAAAAGAATAAAGAAAAAAAATTAATCAATCATTTTTAGTTTATAACGAACGGGGAAATATTTATTTTTATTTGCAATTTTTATTTGAAAAAGTCTATTGTTCTTTTCTTGTAATTTTTATCAACGTAAAATACGTATTTTAAAAAAAATATATAATTTTAACCTTTGAAACCTTTTTGAAAAAATTCTGATTTTTCTGGTGGAGAAAATTTGGATCTAAGTTTTATAAAAAAAATTGAGCCATCCACAAGGATAAAAGAAGGTATCCATTTTTTAAAGATTCTACTAGGTTTTAAAACTACAGAGAGGCGCGCACGTGCTTTAAAATTATTTAAGATAATCGTGATATATTTGACTTTTTGAAATCATATCTATAAATAAATATTATTACCTCCCCCCCCCCTCCTCCATTGCAAACACTGAAGGTTCACGAATTGTGCGATAATTTTTGCCAGAGGTACATAAATTGTTTGAAGGGCAAAATGCCGATCGATTTAGTCATAGAGGACAACGGAACCGCTAGTGCCAACCCGCCATCTTTCCCTTCGCCGGGCGCCGCGTCTCAATCGCAACCGGTTAATATTATGGACTCATCTTCCTCTTACCCACCCACTTCGACCGTTACCCATGATAACGGTTCGGTTAAAACCGCCAAACCTAACCTGACCGGGCATAACAATAAAAAATCACTTAGTCAACAAAACAATTTTTTGTCAACCACAAATTCTTGCGAAGTTATTTTTATTTTTTTAATATAAAATTTATATATTTTTTTTGGTAGATACTAGATAGAGTATTTTTTATTTACCAACCTAAAAGATAACTCTTAGATATTGAAAGTTTTTAAATAATAATCGAATAAATATTTAGAAACTTGAAAACATGCAGGACAGTAGCAATAGCAACGGTCCCTTAACTTATGGCGACCCTTCCGATCATACTTCCTCGCCTCCTCAGCTACATCAATACGTGACGCCAAGCGGAGGGGCCAAAAAGAAAAAGATTAGTGGTAACAACCGTAGCAATGTAACGAGGAACACCGGAAACACGCCCGTGGAGGATATCTCTAACGATTACCACTCCAATCATCACGAAGTCGCCAATAAATTCAATGATAACGAAATCAATCACCCTCCACAAAACGACGATACGAATAATAGTAGCGTTAGCGAGAACAATTTTTATCCCGCTCTACCTCCAAACGGCTACAATTACGATCCTTATTATTACCATCACCCCACGCATCACCCAGCTGCCGTGGCTTATTTCGACTACGCCGCCCACAATCTTAACCCGATGTCCAACAATTTCCCTCATTCTACCATCGCCCACGATAATGACCCCATCAGATCATCTAATACCATCAATCATAACCATAATTCGGGCGCCTCACCACCCACGTCTAATCACGTCCCTTCCTCATTTTACAACGTTCCCAATCTAGGCAATTTCAATAACTTGAATAACTATGGTGCGGCGGCCGCGGCTGCTGCCAACCATGTTATGATGTTAGCCGGCTATCCGCCTGTTCACCCTCCTCTTCCTACCCACCCGAGACTGGATATTAACGAAAATATCGACAATGTAAACGACAAAAATAATTCATTTATGCTTAAAGAACAACAAAATGAACGAGAAATCGAGGAAACGGCCCTGGGAGATATCGTCAACAAAAATCGGGCTTATTACGATTACTACGCCAGCTCCCAAAATTACCTGCACGGCAAAATGGTGGGTTTGAACAACCTTAGTAATCTCAACCGCGCGAATATCAACAACATGTACGAGATGAGTCACGATACCGGAAACGAGACAGAAAAATCGGGTGATAATTTGACCAATTTTAGTAGCCATCATGCCAACGACTTGGTGGTTGGCAATGATTTTGACTCTTACGCCAACGTCATGGCTGACAATTCGAATCGCCACCCCATGATGTTCGGCATGGGGCACCCGGCCATGTTTAACCCTTATTTCGGAGCCCCGCATCCCCAACACCCTCATCCCGCTTACCATCACCTCAACCCACACGCCGCCCTTCTCAACCATCATAATTCAATGGTCGGTGGGTTCGGCGCCGCCAATTACAACAATGGAAATATGGGTGGAAATAATGGAGGGAACAACAGCAGCGGGAGCAGTAACTTGGGAGCCAATTTCAACCTCAACGATAATTCGTCAGATCAGGGTATTCTATTTTATTAGACTTTTTCGCCTTTTAAATTTTTTTTTAAAACCAATTATTATACTACAATCTTTATTTTTAAAATAATATTTATACTTTTTCGATTCTTTTCTAATCCTAGCATATTTATTAAAAAAAAACTATAAGGGTCGGGCCAAGCAAAAATATTTTGAAATTTCTTAACTGCCCAAAACGGGCGGAGCTTTGCAGACTTTGGCTTTATATACCTACTTTGTGAAATTCCATCCTTTTATTCTCATATTTTTTTTTGAATGATAAATAATTGGACTTTTTAAATTTCATTCATTCAACATGTCTATCAGAACATTGTGAATAATCCGGAAATTTGATATAAATCAGAGACCTGCAGGCCCGCCCCTAAGCCCGACCGGGTCGTGCCATATTTTAATTTTTTTAAATTTACCCTGGCCGGTCCTGAATTTTTTTAAAAAAAAATATCCGGGGACCTTATATTTTAAAACTTTATATTTGAAATCGCCATTATTAGCTGTCAAAATCAAAAATAAATAAAATATAATTTAAAAAAATCCGGGCCGGGCCTGAAAATTTTTTATGAAAAATAACCCGGGCCGAAAAAATTTTAAAAAAAAATCCAGGCCGGCCGTACAAATGGTACTTCTGCAGGTCTCTGATATAAATAGATCTCCTGATTTCCAATTCTCCTTATTCCCAAATAACCGATATTATATAACATTTTCTTCCCATTTATCCTATATTTCTAACTTAAACCGATTTGAGAAACATTTTTTTTTCAAAGCCATATTTTCAAAATGACACATTTATTTTTGCTCATTTGAGCTTATCGCATTTAACCGATTTCATTTAAACGGGGTTTTAACTTTTTTTACAATAGAAATTATGAGTAGTTCAAAAGTTCTCGGGCAAAATTGTTCGAACTTTGCGGGGTAGGTGGTATTAATAACATAAGTTTTAGTTGTTAATAAATTTGCTTAACCGCTCTGAAATATTATGCTCTTGTACTATTTAATATCTATATATATATCATAAATTCAAATTTTATTATTTATATTTGTAAAGACCACATACATCCACTAATAAAATTTCTGATTTTCACATTTGATTATTATATATATTACAAGGAGATCATATGGAAAACAGTTTGGGATCGGAATGCGGCGATGACGAAGACGACGACGATAGGTTAGCTGGAAACGAGGGGTCCGGAGGTGGAATGTTAGGCAACAAAAAGAGGTCTAAAAAACGTGGAATATTTCCCAAAGTGGCCACTAACATAATGAGAGCATGGCTTTTCCAACATTTGAGCGTAAAAAAAAGAGATTATTTATTTGTATATTATATTTCTTTCATTCCTTATTCCGCCTTTATAATTTTTTTAAATATTTTATAAAATACATATTCAATAGCACCCATATCCATCCGAGGAACAAAAAAAGCAATTAGCTCAAGATACCGGTTTAACCATTTTGCAAGTCAATAATTGGTTAGCAATTTTTTCATTTTTGAAATTATACAATCTTTTATAATCCATGTATAATATCTAGACGCGTACGCAAATTTGGTCGGGGGGGGGGGATAATAAAATTTTTTAAGAAATATTAATGTTAATTAAAAATACTAAGCATAAATTTATTAGGACTAATAACTTTTCTAATACATAATTTTAAAACAAAAAAATTATATAAATAAACCGGCATTGAAAAACTATAAAATAAATGTGAATTATAAAATATAAAGTGAATATAACCACTATATGAATCACTTAAATGACCCAAAATTGAAATTTGAATTTTTTGAGCCTTTAAAATATATAAAGTATAAAAAATCTAAATGTTGGAAATATAAATTAATACACAAAAAGTTTCTTAGGAATAATTGTATTTTGTATGTTTTGAGCTAATTTTTCAATTGTCCATCCTTGCTTGGCGTTAAATGCCTATGAATATTCAAAAGATCCAAATCATTCAATCTACTTTCAGAAGTCATATTTCATAGGTATGTTTTTCAGAGACTTGCAGGCCCGGCTCCCGAGCCGGACCGTATTTTAATTTTTTTAATACCCGGGTCGGGGAAGAAATTTTTTTTAAAAAACACCCGGGCTGGGTATATTTTAAAACCAAATATTTGAAATCGCGCCATTATTAGGTTAATGAAGCTTACTACCAAGTGAATGTATGGAAATATTCTAAATACCAACCTAATTTGCTAAATACCGACCAAAATTTATTAAAATGTAATAAGACCCTTATTATATAATATATTATAATGGAAACACGTGGTCGAGTCCGGCCTCCTATATATCATCCCCCCAAGGATGGAACCACCAAGTTAGAATAAGAAAAAAAACATAATCATTACGGGATTCGAACCTGTAACCATGGGATCAGTAAGCGAAGCTCTTGCCGACTAGGCCATAGATGTTTTCCAAAAATCACGATTTTCCAAATATATATTATAAATATATTTGGTAGTGCCTATCCAAAGGAAAAATAAACAAAATTCAAATTTGATAGGTAGTACCTTAAGGTAGTAAGCATCATTAACCCCATTATTAGCTATAAAAATCAAAAATAAATATAATTTATTTTAAAAAAATTCGGGCCTGAAAATTTTTTTAAAAAAACCCGGCCGAAAAATTTGTAAAAAAAAATCTGAGTCGTGTCCTGCAAATGGTACCTCTGCATAGCTCTGTTATTCTTCTTAAAAAAGAGAATGTTCTCTCATTAGTTTACTAATGGGAAGAGTTGCTAATATATATATATAACCATTTTAATACATTTGGAATATAATCTAAAATGTGTTTGAAATAATGCAAAGCATCCATAGCATTTTTTGGGACTATATCAACCATAGTTAATCTTTTAATCATAGTTATTTAGCTAATATGACATCATAAAATATTTTAACATCATCATGGTAAAAATCTAACAAGTATTTTTTTTTTCTATCAACTTCTGAAAATGGTTGGAATGGCTAATATGGAAGTAATATCTGCGGATTTGTAACTGCTGCATGATGAATTAAAAACGATTCATTTATTTGGGCTATAAATGTATCTAAGAGAGGGGACATTTGTTTTATAATATTCTTCTACTGATCCTTTATTAAAGTTTTGACAATGAGCTTGCTTGCTGCAAGTTGAGGGTGACAAATATTAAACACCTCAACAATAACATATAAAATATGAAATTCTTCATCAACATTAGCTCTAATTTCCTTGAGTTCTAATAAAATGATCTCCGCTATTCTCATCTTCTTAATCAAGTCAATATCATGTTTTTGAAAAGTATTACCTAAAATAGTTGTATAATTAAATAATACATTCATTTTAATGAGGAAAAAAATTTGGGAATAAGTATTGAATCCAATAATTTTCTTGCTTCTGAGGAAATATTTCTTTCAAACCATTATGATATTTCATTAATAGCATTAATAATCGGCTCTTCTAACTCCATAAATTCTGTTACTGCTTGATGGCGGAGACTCGATCTAGTTGGGCAAGCTTGAAATTCCTTCTCCCTGCTGGACAAGGAGTTTCAGAGATAATTATTATTTGACTAAAAAATTAGATAAATAATATGCCACTAAAATTTGAAAATGATATGTAAATTACGCAAAGGAAAACTTGAAATCCAAATTAATTGATAAAATAACTTAGTAGATGAATGTGATAAATAAATGTAATTAAATATATATACGAGATAGGAATAAATATTAACAAATATAAATTAATATTAACAATAAAATTTTTGAAAAAACGCGCCTGATAATATCACTACATACATGCAGACTTATCACATTCTTTTCTTTCGAGAACCACGATTATACCCTAGCCCTTGCCCATATGTATATTTTTTTTACTAAGATGCTTTTTTGGAACAAAATTATAGAGTTTTCGCCAATATCTAATATTATGTTAATTATGCTGGCGGCTTTGGTTCAAATGTGAAATGTTTTTATTTAAACCAAAAATATATAAATAACCTTTTATATGACTTCTTTTTTTTTTACCGAGTTTGAACCTAACATGTTTTGAATGTCTGGGAGTGGATAAAATCGGGAATATTTTATATTTTAACCAAAAAGGGCCTTAAAATACAGTCTTGTAGCTTGAATATATTTGTGTATAATATTTATTGTTTGAAAGAGATTGTTTTTTTGGACATATTTTATCGATGTTTTGGAGAAATATATATAATCGCAAAAACGATTCGTATTCGATTTATTGAAACGAATTTTATCATTCGTACGAATACGGATAGTAAATTATTTGATTTGTTTAAAGGAATCGAATACCATTAATTCGGAACATATGATAACAATTTAATCTCATTTATAAAATATCAAAAAATAGGTTTATAAACGCGAGACGAAGGATAGTTCAACCTATGATAGATCAATCAAATAGAGCAGGTTCATTTTTTTTATATAAAACTTTTAAACAAAATTTAAAAATTTTTTAAACATTCCCCCCCCTTCCCCTTCATATAATAGGACCCGCGCCGTATAGTCCAGAGAGTGCTAACACCGCCGCTTATTACAATTCAGATACAACCTTAAATCCTTCTATAATGCCTTCCCCCGGAAATATAATGCATATGAGACATGGTGAGTTTAAAAAAAATATATACACATTAATTAGCGGCATAGTCGTGTGTATTCCGCTAAAGCTTTTTTTAGATAGTCAGTTATCGCGAAATGTCAATTTACGTGATTAAAATCCGCCAGTGTATTACCGCTAAAACATTTTAGCTGGTGGCATTACCGCGATTTCTTGTTTTTGAACGCTCAGTTTACCATCCTTGATTCAGACCGAAAACTTACCCCAAACATGGCATTGCGAAAATTTTGCTAAGGATCGGGGGAGGGGGTGCACTATTAAGTGAGATTTTCCCCTTTTACATATTATTGGAGGTTTTTATCACTTATTATAAGACCTTTTGCTATTTTACATTTTTTTTATATTAAAACGCTTTTTTTCCTGAAATTTTTCAATCAGTCATTACTTTAAAAAAGAAATTTTATATTGTTGTTAGCGTCAATGTGTTTTTCCCGGCAATGTGTTATTTTTCAACTTTAAATCAATTTTTGAGCGCGTTTTTTTAAATTTAAAAATCTGATTTTGCCGGAAATATAATCCCATCATGCTTGGAATACATACCTACCCTATAAATTTCATACAATTTTTCCATGAACTTTAGAGCTTAATAAAATTTACATTAAATCTTCCATAAATTTTTTGTATAAATTATAAATGACTTAAAGGTTAACAGTATATTTGGAGGGGGGGGGGTCTAGGGTATGTTGTGGTTCATATTAGTTTAAAATAATATTTACAAGAACAGGCAAATTCGATATACCAATGACTCCATATAAACTTATAAAGAAATAAAAAAAATAATTTTTTTTTAACTATTAAAACACAAGGTTAGGCTTTGGCTTAAGTTAATATATATATATGTTAATAAGTTGTATTCCACATTCAAATCAACTGAAGATTCATCCCCGACTCCCCTTCAATTTTTTTTAAAATTTCTTATGATGGTAAATATATATACTAACTAGTAAAAATATAAAATTTTAATTCCCTTAGCTTACTTCCTGGAATTTGGAAACGCCAAAATTACATAATATACACTATTTAATTTTAAGTAGCTCATAATAGCCCTTTAATAATATATAAAATATATTATATTGAAAATAAGTCTATCTATTACCAAAAACCTGAAATAGCTCTAAAAAAGAAAACTGTTATTTTATTTTAGATAGACATTATGTGCAAGATCATAGACTGTTACAAACATTGGTCCAAGAATTTTAGCACCTTGAGTATTGGTCGTATGGCTAAAATCGTATCTAAATATCATTTATATTTAAAATATGTTATGTAGTATTTTTTTTTCAATTTTTTAAAATAAAAAAGAAAACATAAAATTTAAACATGTAAAAAAAGATGAATAATGTTTGGATATATCTGGGTTGGGCCTAATATTTTTTGAAAAGATGCAGACCGGGTCGGGCTTAAAATTTTTTCTTTCATCCGAATAAATGCATGAAATTTTTGTGTTCAGGGAATTCGTTTGGCTGTTAAATATCTTTTTTCGATTGAGGTTTCTATGCCTAAATATTCAACGTTGCTGACGAATATATAATTGTAATCCCCGGGATATTAATTTTTCGCATAATTACATAAATCTATATGATTATCATAAGAACCTTACAGACTTGCTCTAGCAGCTATCCTTTTAGTGATGCCCCCCCCCCCCCAAACTATCGAAATGAGTTGCAAAAAGATGCCATTCTGCCTTGATCCCATAATCATTCTCATGGTTGTAGAGGTGTATAAAGTTGTAAGAATCACAGATTTTTTTAAAAATTGATTGATATGCTAGAATTTTCTATCATACACGGAAATAACCTTGTGATTTATCGAAAGTGGTTACAGCACATTACTGGAAATTGAAATTGCTTTTTTTCTGCTCTTTTTTAGACATTTAAATTATTATGATGAGAAATAAAAGATGTTTGTTAATTTTATAAAATTATGACAGTTAATAAGCAATAAATTTGGATAATGAAAACGTGATTTAATTATTTCGTAGGAAAATGGTTATTAAAAATTTATCAATAATAATGCCGACTGTTGCTGTTGGAAATAATTTTCAGTATGACTTTTATGTCAAATATATTTATTTTGTTTTAATAGTTTTTAAGAAGATTAAATTTTGAGAGATTTATCTTGACAAATATGAGATAATTTTGATTATAACGAACCGAAATTTTCAAGATAATATTTACTATTGGAAATATAATCTTTAACAATCGCCAAAAATTTAATTATCCTACAATAAAAAATTCACAGAGTTGCCAGTTTAAAATTTCAAATTGAAAACGTTTTTTTTAGCGGTGCGAAGTTCCATTTTTAGGTCGGGTGAAGAGATTATTGGGCGTTGACTTACTTTTTATTATCATAGTTGCTACTTTTTTAGTGCTTCCAAATTTAGGCGTTTTGCGTTTTAATAAAGTTGTAGTACAATTTCGTAAACAAAAATGCAAAAATAGTCCAAGTTTTTTAGGATTTCATTTTAAATTTAATTTTGCATATTGACCACTTTAAAAAAAAGTAAATTACTATATATTAATATTGGCTATAATAATCGGATTTAAGCCATACAACTTATATTTAAAGTGCAATTACTCTTGGCCCAAAATTCGTCCCAGTCTAGGATTTTGTACAAAATATTAGGGAATATAATGTCTACATGTAAAAATAAACTGGGAAAAAAGAAGGTTTCCTTTTTATAGCCATTTTGAGTTCTATATAATCGCAAATATATAAATATAATTTGCAATAGTAAATGCATTTGTTATAATGTGGTAATACTAAATACCATTAACGAAAAAGGCTATACTACAAAAACACATTTTCGCTAAAAAATATATAAGATACAACTATTAATCACATGATAAAACAATTCTAAATATTCAATTGAAACCTATTTTTTTTGAGAGTATTATGGGTTTAATATAAGGGTATAGTTATGACGTCACTACGAAGAGGCAAAGTTTGCGCCGCTTGAACATACTTGAATCTGTTTAAAAAATTGCTATAAGACGCCAATGCAATATTATAATTAGGTTTTATTATATGATAATGTATCGTCAATAAATTTATCACAAATTTTGTTGTTGTTTTACCTATAAGATTCGTTATCGTCCGATATAAACACCGGCTCTGCTGACAATACTTTACCCATGTTACACAACGCCGCCTCCTTACCTTCCTCCCCCTCTCTTCATCTTAATCTCAACCACATCCATGGTAACAATAACCCTGAGGAAGAATCCTTGACCAATGCCTTTAACCCAATTCCCCCGCACCGCGTTATGATGCACCACGACCCGGTTGCAATGGCGGCAGCTGCCGCCATGTCTATGTCTTACCATCACCATCATCCCATAGTTAATCCTTATCATCATAATCCCTACCACCCCTATCATCAATACGTACCACCCATGCCCACAAATAATCATTACAATCCCGATAATAATACCCATCAAGCTTTCGGCGATAATAATGGTATTAACCAGCTACATTACCCAGCCGCCGATCCTCCTACCTTATAAATTTCTGAATTTTCGACAAGAAAAAATCACGCATTCATTGCACAGTTACGCAGTTTGCAGTATGGCTATCTTTCCTCACGAACTTAAATCACAAAACGAGCTATTACTAATCTATTACCAACCCTATAGGCAAGTCCCGGCTGGCTATATCTCAATTTTTTTATATCATGAAATATATATAAGTGCAATGGGGCTATAAAGAGAATTGGCGCCTTTTTATTACTTTTAAAACACATTTGTTGCCCGCGGGTATTCATGTAATTTTAATTGACATAGTTGTTGATATCTCTTTAAAAAAATTCTTTATTTGTGAAATATGTCAAGCACTTGATATATTTCGAAAAACATTTTTTAAAACTAAAAATCATATGTTATTCTTTTAATTCAAGATAACAAAAAATTTACACAGAATCTCTTACGCGTTATATGTAAAAAAATATTATACACCATTTATAATTTTGAGATTTTACTTTGTATATTATTATAAATATCGCTATAAAAATATCATAAATTTAATTTATTTTAAACATTTTTAAAAATTATTATTTGTAAATCGTGTTTTTCATTTTAATTGTAATTTTTTTTTAAATTTTATTTTTTCTGTGAGTGCTATATCGTTATACCATTTATTTTTTTAAAAAAAATTATGATTATTAACTTCTTAGCAAAATTTTTATTACTCTAATTTACCTATAGTTTATATTATTATATATATTTTTCATAAAATTGTCTTTTAAATTCACTCATAAATATTTTTTAAAAAAAGGAAAAATTTAATACTATATATAATATAATAATAATATTATTATTAATATTTCATATTATGTTTACCATTTCGTAAATATTCTTTTATTAATTATAAATATAATTAAATTTGGAAAAAAAAACTTTGTGTTCACTGAAATTGAGTATTCTATAATATCAAATTATGACATAAATGTAAGCTACGCTCAAGTTGAAATTCAGACGTTTAACAAAATTTTGAATTTTAAAATCCCATCACGTCCTTTATTAGAAACACATGGTCCTTTAACACGGGGATGGCACGAATCAATTGTGTGATAAAGCTTAGAGGGGGTCTATTAGCTTGTATCGATTATTAATCGAACCATTTTATATTTCAGTAAGGGAGGTTGTGCCGTTAGCCTAGGGGGTCTAGAGGGCTGCAGAAAAAATGACTTTTTTCAAAAAAACCCATCTTTTCCGGTAATCTAATTTATAACATAGCGACTTAAAAACTTCTCTTCATCTAATTCATAACAAAGTGACATAAAAACTATCTTCTCATTGTCTACTTTATAGCATAGTGACTTAAAAAGCTGCCCTCTCGTTGTCTAATTTATAACATAGTGACTTAAAACAACTGTTCTCTTTTCATTATATATTATATTGTGATAGGGCATTATTTAAAAAGGTCACTACAATTAATTTAAGCTATACAAATTAATCAGTTGGTAAGGCATAATGGGACCTTTTAAAAATTTATTAAAATAGCCTAATTTTAAAGATTTCCATTTTAAACATAAAATTATATTAAAAAATCGGGGACGGGCTGTAAGATGATCTGAAACAAAAATATCCGAAACCGGTTTTGAAAAATAATTTTTTTTTCAAATATGGACAGGACCCTAAAATTTACAAGGTTGATAAATAATTACTATAATAGAAACACTGCCTTAACATGTGATGAGATATGAATAAAATTAAAAAAAAATTCTATAAGATAATCTTTTTCTGTAATAATATAATTTTGTAAAATATGTCTTACTGTTGATAAATTTCAAATGTTTTCTAGCACAAGCAACCTTATACACTAAATATTTTATCTAAAATCCGATATATTTCCTAAACTACATATGCCAAAAATTTATGTATCCTTCGAATTTAATGATTATAATTATATTTCCCAATTTTAGATTTTTACCACGGAGGTGGGGAGGAGATATGACACAAGATCATTACTTACTTTGAAAGGCGAAAGGCATGATGCGACATGAAGAATGTTTTGAAGTGATATATTGCACGATAATAATATTGATAAAGATCTATATACCATGAAAACAACTAAATACATACGATAAGTTCATTGAATCAAATCAAAAATGATTAAAAAATACAAAAGAATGTTGCTTATATAATAAAATTAGTGCTGTAAACGTTACTAAAAAAAATAAACTAGTTACATATGAAAAAAGGAACGCGCGTTACATTCAAAAAAGTAAGTGGGTTATTTACTCGTTACTTATAAAATAAAATATTATATACAAAAAGATATTTATTTTTTTCCTACAATATATGTTATATATAACAAGATAAGATCATTTTATAAAAATTTTTTTCATATATTTATAATTATAATATATAAAATTATACAAAAATAATATATTATATATAAGATAACATTGTAACAATTTTATTTTTAGCAACAATTGATTTTCAAAATTTTGATCAGACAAACAAGAGCGCTTAGTTCTCAACACAGATTTCGCCGTGCTAAACACACTTTCAATTGGTGCAGAGGATCTGAGAGTTGTATATTTAATATATAAAAATCTTAATTCGGGGTATTTATTTAAAATATTTAGAGAATTATATTTATTTTGAAAAAAGTTTAATAAATCATTTTCACAAGGATCTTCATTCATTTCCTCATCAAAAAAATTTAAATATTCTAATATGTGCGTTCGATAAAGGAATTACTTTTGCGCTTTCTTTATTATGATCTTTTCTCAAACTGGATATAAGTTCAAGCATTCTTCCATTGTTTATCTCTTATTTTATCCAGAGACAATCCAATTAAAATAACGGGTGAATATTTGCGGATAGTATATGTTCATCTTTATAGATGTGTTTGAATTTATTGAAAATAAATGATAATCAAAATATAAATTGTAAGCAATATTTGAACTGTATACCTTTTATCTATGCCTTCCAGGATTGAATTAGTAAGCGGCTTACAAAACTTGTAATTATTTAGTCATTTTTTTAAGTTTTAATATTATAATAGTTATAGTAGGAGTGAGATATCCCAAATGCATTCTTCGCTCTCTAAAATTGAAAGAGCCTTAGCAATCGGTTTCATTACCCATAAAATCATATATATGTACATATCATATTTCTTAATTAACGCTAATAGTTGGCTACAATTTTTTGATAATATTAATAAATGCAGTTCTTTCTACAATTGAATATGTAATTCTTCAATTTGCCTTCAATTTTTTTTATTACAATTCAAATGTTCATTAATCTCTTTCATTTTTGAGGAATGTAGAGTCTATAATTTTTTTATTAAAATATTATTAATTCCTGATTTTTTATTAAAAATAACTTATCTTTTTCAGAATTTTCATTTAAAAAGAAATCAGGAAAAATATCTAGGTTTAATTCTCTAAAACAATATCGTTTCATAGATTTATTCCATATATATATTTATTTAAAAATACATGTTTTTTTAAACAAAGTTTTTTAGAATCACTATTTTATTCTTTAAATAAATTTATGAAGTTAAACCAAAAGCTATAATAAAACAAGTAATAGTAGATATTGTTTAAACCCATTAATATAATATTTTGAACCAATACCAATATTTTGTTAATCTTGGGTTTTTAATGTTGTTTCCTAACCCAATACATTTAATTGCTTTTATTTTAATTTATGATTAAGCTTTTCAAAATATTATGTTATTATTAACATTTATTTTGAATTTTGACTGAATATTAATTAGATTAACATTAGATTGAAATTTTAACAACGAGAATTTTAAATAAAAATGAAAGAATGGTGGTTGATATGAATTAAAACTCGGCTTCAATTGTCGCAGTTATTCAAATTTAAAATAAAATTCTGAAAATAATAATTTTTTTAATAAATGTCTATCATTTGTGATATTTTTTAAAAATATTTTTATAAGAGATTTTTTATTCATTTTGTATTTTCTGATTGGGAAAAAGAAATTAATTTTATTGATTGATTATTTTGTATTTATACGGGTACCATTTGGTTTTATACAATAAAATATGTTTTTCCTTTTCTAATTTTTTATAAGAAAAAATTTAAAGTATCGGGTAACGTTTTGCGTTACCGTTACTTAAAAAGAAGAAACTCGAAACCGTTACTCATTACCTCTAGAAAAAACATAATATATGTATAATTGTTTTTGGAATGTCATAAACAACATAAAAACTTGTATAATTCTTTTCTGAATGTCATTAGCATAAAAACTTGTATAATTGTTTTTTGAATATCATTTTAAAAAAAAAAGTTTTAAAAATGCAAGAAAATAAATTAAAATGACATATTAGTTGATTTCTTTTTATTGTATATTTTATTTTATAAGGTAGAATGAGTGTAGGATGTTATAAATTGAATATGAAATAAATGTGAAAATCATATGTGTTTTTTTAACAACTAGCTTTCACTGGTCACATATTTATTTTAACAAAAGGTTTACATAGATTTTAAAATAAACTCCAAAATTAAAACATTTAATAAATGACTGATCCAATTTTTACGATTCCTGTCCACAATAATGCTGGTTTTAGGGATATATCAAATCAAAATATATATTTGAATCTTATAAAATTGTTAATCTTAAGATCTTATAAATTTCGAAAATAATATACAATATTATTAATAATCTTTTTTTTTATTAATCACATTTCTTTAAGTACCAGCTGATATAGTAAAACAGATAAATAAACTATTACTAACATTTTTAGTTGCTTACATCCATCTTATTAAAATGTTACTTTTGAAAATCATTCCCAGTAAATTGTAAAATGCTGTATCATAATTCATAAGTAATTATTATTATGGAAAACCACATTTCAAATAATGATATATTCAAAAATGGTAATCATGACAAAGGCATTGTTAAAGAAGGTTTTCTATGGAAAAGGGGTTTTATATAATTTTTTTGAAATGATTTAAATTTATTATTATATAGGAGAGCACATAAAGAATTGGAGACTACGATATTTTTTTCTCTTAGAAGATTGCAGTTTAATTGGATTTAAAAATAGGCCTACTCATAATTTAAATGACCCTTTAAACAATTTCACTGTTAAAGGTAGCAAAACTTAAATATAATATTATATTTTAAAAATTAAGGTTGCCAAATTATGACATCCGATAAACCAAAACCTAACGTTTTTATTATAAGAGGATTACTCATGACATCAATAATTGAAAGAACATTTAGCACACAATCTCCTGAAGACAGGTTTTATAATTAATTTGTAATTTTTGAACTAAAATGATTGAATTTATTAAATGCCATTAGCTTTTAAAAACTTAAAATAATAATTAGAAACCAATCATTGGAATATAAAAAATAATTTACATATAAAATAATATATATCTACATTCGATTATAAATTCTTTTCATTATTAAATGGTTTTCTTCCAGTTTATCTAAATTAGGCAATTTTCCCTCTGTCACCCTTCTTCCTGTGACCTTGATCTCATTACTTTAGTGCATCTCTTTATAAAGCCCTGAAATTTGAACTTAGGCCAAAAAATTAAAAAATATTTTCATGAACCAGACTTAGGCCGATGTTATTTATAGTTTTATCAAAATAAAATTATAATTATAATTTATCTATGATAAGAAAAAAGCAAAACACTTGATTATTGTTTCATTCATCTTCTTAAAGATATGTTTATATTTTTATTACAATTTTGGATCATGACTTGGGCCTATAAATTTTAAAATATTTTGAGCTGGGCTCAGGCTTAAACATTTATATAAGTTGGCTTGTGCCTAAAAAATGGAATTGCTGGTCTCTATCTCTTCACCCATTCATCTTTTGTTCAGCATTCCCACACCATCTCAGTCTATTTTTTCTTATTTATTTTATTTAAAAAATCCTATCCCAAGTATTAGATCTGGACCATGTAAGAGTTGGAAGGGGATATTTTTTACTATGATGATGATTTAATCTTTCATTTTAATTTTTTTTGACATGTTTACTAATATTTTTATTTATCTTTTTCATTACAAAAGAATATCAAATAAATAAATTTTTTAAAAAATATTAATTAGACACCTTATTATACTGCCCAGCCCATATTTTTAAAAAAACTTCTTTGGCCTGGCCTGAGTACTTTTAATTTTTAGATTGGCTTGGATTTTTTAAATTTTTTTAAAAATTCATTTTAGTCCAGGCCTGAAGTTTTAAAAATATTCTGTTACTTGTGATTATTTATTTTTTTGCTTGTATTTTGTAGAAAGAAAAAAAGAAAGAAAGGAAAATATAAACAGAAAATTAAATTATTATTTTGCAAAATTCTAAAATCAGCCTGATGCCCTGATTCACCCCAGGTTTATAATTTTATTTTTTCAAGCATGGCTTGGAGTTTTTAACTATTTAAAACTGGCACCAGGTGAGGCTGTAATTACCAAACAGGTCTGCAAGTTTGCTGTTATATATTTAATTATCAATCATTATCTTTGACCTCTTCAATTTAAATTGTGATGCTATTCATTAGCATCATAAATTTTTTTCTTATCATAAAAATTATTTTATTTTTATCTTATGCTATCATCTCTAACTCATTTTTTGAAATTCCTAATAAAAGTTGTGCATAATCCAAGAATGTTAAAATATTTGTACTGGCCATGCTGGAAGCTTCACAATTATTTTTTAAAGATGATTTATGACTTTTATTACTCCTTCCCTTTATAATAAATTTCTACAGGCAGGGCTGAACAATCTCATAAAATTATTGGATGGGCCAGGTAGAAAATATTTTACATACCCTCCCTCAATCTGCCTTTATCTCGAATTTTCTACATTCATTCTGGTTGTGTCCAAAATATCAAAAAAAAAATTGATTCGCAAACTTTTTAAACTTTTCTAGAAAATTTCAAAAATTTAAATTTACGATGTCATTAAAAAAAAACTTTTGAAAGTTTTAAAACTTTTAGAATTTTTTAAAAATGATTTTTTGAGACATAACCTTACAGACCTACCTAGACCTACTCACCAAAACGTTAGTAATTTAATTTTTCATTTTTCCAACATTTGATTTTAGCAAACTCATTTTTTTGACTGTTTTCTGGGTTTGATTTAAAAAATATAATAAAAATTTTGTTTTTGAATTATGATTTTAACCAAAATATTATATATAAATTTATTTTGATAATTCAACAAACAACCATTACTAGATAAAAAATTTTTTTTAAAAAAATATATAATTGATAATAAATAATTTATGACTACTCATTCGAAAATATTTGTGCCTGGCAGAAAGAGAAGAAATGAATGAAAGATCGTAATCCTCATCTAAAATGATATCAAAAATTCTGATTTTTAATATTTAATAATGCCTTCCTTGGAATGGATTGGCGTAAAGTTGCCATTATTGAGAACAAAACATGCAATTACTCGAGAGCTAAGATTGATCGATGGTTTGATTGACTCCTGCTCTCCACGAACTAAATTGAGCAAATGTTTTTTTTTAATATCATCATAATACATATTAATTTATTATTTTCCTTCCCCTAATGGTAATAATCAAATTTCAAAAAAAAAGAAAGAAATAACCTTGAAAATAAAAAAAATTGCATAACAACACTTTAATCGAATCAATATTTTCGCTGCATTTTTTTTAAACAAAACAACAAATTATTTAAAAAGTGGCTTATTAGTTGCGATGACGTTGGAGATACCCTTTGTATGCGCAACGCCTCATTCATATAAATTATGATTGATCGACATATTTGACAAAATATCCTATTTTAATTATTACCATTTATACCTCGTCTTTAGCTCGGCTAAATTAGTTCCGAATTTCGTTTTAAAGTTATTTAGCTCAAAATGGCATCAAATACTAAAATTGATAACTAATTTAATTATCGCGGACTTAATTTCGGAATATTCGTTTTAAAATGCTCAGACTTGCGAATAAACTAGTTCGCTAATTTCATAACTAACTTGCGCTGCATTTATAGTAAACGCGTTATCTTCAAGCATTGCGTTTATTACAGCTGATTCACAATAATCATTTTTTTTAAACGAATTGGCTATTATTTTTATAATAGTATCGCTTATTTTTTTTATCAACGCATCGCAACATGTGTTTTTTAAATTTTTTCATAGGGTTATCATCGTAACGCTCCATATTTATAAATTTATACCTATTTATTGGCTTTTTTTTTGTAAAAAAACACACCGCTTGAACATAACGCGTTCTTAGTCGTGTTAGGTATAGGACGAGGAAACAAAGTATCCTTCTCTGAAAAAAAGAAGCCTAATCCTTAATAAATGAAATATATAAATGACAAGCAATGCTCAACTATCCGACGAATAAACCGTGTCGGACCGGATTTTTTGCTCCGACCATTTTTTAAAATACATTTTCAAGTCCGGACTGGGTTTGAGTTTTTTGATAAAGCAAGACCCGAAATTATTGAAGAATATTATTTCGGGGCCAGTGGATCTACAGGTCTCCGCAAAAATATAGGGGGGTTACCATATCAGCTGGCTTAACTCTGCCAAAAGTATTTAAACCAATTAAAAGCAATTTTTTTTTATCGAGGCGCATGAATGACCAAAAATAGAAAATTAAAAAAAAATAAAATAATACCCGACATTTTTAAATTTGAAGTCGATAAACTTTAAAAAAAAAACTGGGTATTTTTAAGTCCAAAAAAAAAATTATTTTAATATTTTAAAAATTATAAAATAAACGCTTTAATTTTAAAATGCACAATTTTCGGTGAATCATTTTTTAAAAAGAAAAAGAAAAGGGGGTAAATGAATTTTTCGATTATTTTATATATTTTTTTTTGCGCGGGGGACGGGGGAGGGGCAATGACATATAATAATACCTAGATTGACGATGCATTCATAATAATGCATTTGAAAGCGACGTTGAATGCAAATCAGCTGGACCCGCCATTTTGGTAACCCATATAGTAAAAATATTCTATTAAATTGATAACTTGCTTCCTTATTATCTCGATGATCGGGCAATTCTTTGATAATTTATTCTTGTCAGACATAAGAATAAAATTGGCCTCTCGTTAAAAATTTTTAATAATTATATATCAAAATGGCCTCCCCAGCTGTTTTCATTGATGTACACTTTTAATAAATGCATCGTCTGTCATTGGGGAGGGGATACCAAGTTTTTTGTTCTTTTTTTCCTTTACCTAAATACAACAAAATCTATTAAATTTAATTTTTGTAAAATGTAGAAGTTAATCTGGTGTTTTTAGCAAATTTTTAAATTATTCATGGCGCGATAAAAAAAGTATTGAATGATCTCATATGTCGTAATATTATATTCTAGTACGTGTATAGCGCCGAGTTGTTAAATATTACTTTTCAAATGTATCTAGATACAGATACATTGAAAGGATACATGGCCATAAATTACCTAAATACCGATACAATTATTTGAAATGATTTTAAGACACCATTCCGATACTTTTAAAATGTCAAAATTTTATTTTAAAAAACTCAAATTTAAATTCATTACTGTTGCATTCCCCGAAATAAAGAAAGAAAGAAAAAAATCACATTTTTAGCCATTTTGAAATGTCTTTCAACTTGCGCCACGCTGGTAGGTCGTACAGTTTATAACGCGTTCTATAATAAATCATCGAAATTTTTTGAAAAAACCCGGGTCGATAAAGAATGACTCTAAATTTGCTAAACATAAACCCCTTCGATATATAATCGTAAATAATTCATTTTTTTAATAATTATAATATATCCACAGGGAATCTTGGATAGAAGCTATTAACAACGTGTCCAATAAACTCGGGGCCGAAGAAACAGAGGCTTACATGAAAAATCCTTCACCCAAACCCAGGAAGAAAATGGTTTTAAAAATAATATTTTCCATAATATGTATCATATAAAACTTCGTGGAGGCATATGATTTGATATTTGACAAACCCCTCCGCCCCCACTTCCCCATCCGCCTTTCCATCTAAAGTTTTCTGTTTCACTACGCGGTTAACAATTTATTTAACACATTCGGCATGGCTTATAAAACCGATACCCAATATTTTTAAAAAGAACTTTAATATAAAATCCCCGCCAAAGCAAATATTGGCTATAATTTATCATTAAATTCATTTTCCCCTCCATTTTCATTAACTCTACCAATGCAAATATTTGAACCACCACACCGAGTTTGGGAGACATAAAATCACTTCTCCAGTTCAACTTACGTCTTCATGCCAAACTTTTTTCGAAAGCGAAGCGTCCATTTTGTTCATACCTATCTGACTGAAAAGACACGTCAAATCGCTAGCAAAACAGCTGATCAATCGTAAACAAGCTATTTTATTTTTTTTGATAAAGGAAAATGGTTTACTGGATTTATCTTTAAATTCAGAATCACGAATTTCTAAAGGTTTTTTTTAAACGAGAACTAAATTTCCTCTATTTGAAAATTAAAACCGTTTTTCTGCTTTTTTATGCCCTAGACTGATTTAAGTTTCGTATGTTTTGTACATGCACCAAAACAGATAGAAAATATATGTTAAAAATACACTTTTGGATTCTCTGAATCATTTTGAAATTTTACGTAAATTATATGTTAATGGAAACGCAAAGAACCTGAACAAATAAATTGACCCTTTTCGCGCTATGGCAGAAATCGGCCATTTTTTCCATTTAATTCGCTATTTAATTCGCGATTTAAAATCGATTAAAAATAATTAAAAATTTCAATTAAACAATTATGAGCTAAGATTGTGAAATATAGTATTTTTTTTCTTCAAAATTTCGGTTTAATATTATCTCTCAAGTAAAGGACTAATGCTCAAGGGAATGAGTCAGGAATTTGTTTGAAAAATTAAATAATTGTTTGTAATTTGATATATTTTTTTTATAATAAAGTGCCGATCGATGCAGCTAATATGACAAAAAATGAGGGATGATTTGGAAAGAAATATTGAAAATTATATAATAACCTATGAATCGACTTTTTGAGCCGATTTTTTAAAACGGCTAATTTAATATTTTCGCCAGAAAAATATTGCCCAAGCCTTGAGATGTCGATAATATATATCTAGACCTTTGTTCCTTATATTAGCAAAATCTTTAGGCTTGCGTAATATCTTTCTGGATGAAATATCGAGTAAGCCGTTTTTAAAAATCGGCTCAAAACGAGCCGTTTAACAACATTAGGTGTAGTGCTCATTTATTAAAATCTACTATCAATAGATTTGGAAAATAAAAGGTCTCCGGGAACAAATAGTTAGTGTGGTGGCAAAGTATTTCAAGAAATAATCAGTTTGTTTCGAACTGAAACGAGATGGAGGGCGATCTCTTGTGTTTATTTTTTAAATTAGTTTCGTAGAATATTAAATTATTTTTCACTATTGTGATTAGGATTTTTCTACTATGTCAAAAAATTGGAATAGAAAATAAACCTTTTTCTCTAACAAGTAGTGATTACTAGGGCAATTTGGTTATTTAATTTAGATTTTGTTTGTATAAATCCTTAACTTTAACTATTTCAAGTTTTGATTTATATCATTGATTTAAAAAATCGGAGTGATTTAAATCGGACACCCTATCATAAATAGACTTATACGCCTTACGTTACCACCCAATCCGTATCGGTAAATTTTACCATGCATATACTATAGGTCGGCCCGATCAGAATCCAGAAAAAAAATTCTGGGATCCGTGGGCAAGACAACTTGCGCAAATTATTTTCCGGGCTCCAAATAATTTGTGGGCCGGGCCTTGGGTTACCACACTGTGGTATCAAAAATATGTCCAATATATATTTTCATTTTACTGTAAGAAAGAAGGTAAAAAGGAAATAAAGAAATGAAAGAAAGAGAGAAATAATTTTTTATAAAAAAATCGGAGATTGCTATATTTTGTAAATAGATGAAAATAATTTAAATCAGTTAAGGATTCAAAAATTATTGAAGTGTTAAAAGAGCTAAAGGGCAAAAAACAATTTAAATTTTTATTTCTATTAATGAAAGCTAAAGCGTTATTCGAAACATGCAGAGTTTGAAATGCTCTTTCAATAAAATACAGAGATCTGCAGCCGGGCCTGGCCGTATTTTAATTTATTTAAATATAACCATGCCGGGCCGAATATTTTATATCGCTCGGGCCAGGTCGAGCCAAAACCCGGGCCTAAATTTAAAAAAAAATTAAGGCAGGGCTGGGACGTGAAAATGGTACCTCTGCGAGTCTCTGATAAAATCCTCAAAGTTTTATGACTACTGAAAAAAAAAATTTATTTCGAGAATGTTCGAACAGGATGCTTTGATTAAATCTTACCTAATATTCCTAATCTTTTCTGTAAAAAACAATCTATTTTTGTGCTTAAAAATATTTTCACGATTTGAAATCACAAATTGATTTTTTGTAAATTTTTTTTTCTTCGAAGCCTGGAAACTAGTACTAATAGTTTTCAGAACTTCCCCAAGAATAGCGAATGTAGGGTTGTTTAAAAAGCCCCGATTTGGGTTTATTTTTTACAAATGACTTGATTAAGATTTTATTAACTAAAATAATATTATGTTGTAGCAGAAACGACCTCTAAACTTAATTAGTAATAATGAAATTGTTTATATATCTTAAAAGAAATTCATTCCGGATTTTTTAACTATTTATATTCTAAATGTGGAGGGGGGGGGGTGATAGTTTGACTAGAGCCGCGTAACTAACAACAACGAAGAAGGAGAATAGATGAAAAAGGAAAGATAGAAAGAAAAATATGATTTGCCAATATATTTTTATAAATAAGATTTAAAAAAAAAGAATGGCTGACATTTTAAAAAAAAATGTGCCAATCTTTTCCATTTAGCGTGATTTAGCAACCCTGGCCGGACAAAAATATTCCGCGTTAAAAAAATAAGAAATATATTCCTAACCTTATCCCCCCCCCCACCCCTTAACTATTTTTGGGGTGAACGGAGATCTGTCCTTGGGGGTATTCAAACCTAAATTGAAATTATTTTTAAGTATGTGACTCCGGCTTGCGAATTTTTTTAAAATATAGACACTTGACTTGTAGATGTGAGTGACAGCAACTAGATTTGATTTATGTTTAAAACATAATCAAACGATAATTTAACAGTCCTTGATAACCAAATTGGAAATAATATTTTTTAGTATGTGACTCCGGTTTTGATTTTATTTTTATTTTATAAACACTTGGCTTGTTGATGTTAGTGGCTAAATAGATTTGATTTATGTTTAAAACATAATCGAAAATTCGAAATATAACTTAACCTGAAAACTCAATAATTTTTGTTTCATTATTATTATTATTATTATAATTATTATTATTAGAAATTCATTTAAAAAAGAAACGTAATTTATTTGTGATGTAATAAAAACTTATTATTTCATTTATTAATTAAAAATTGTCACCTCACCTCATCTTATCTCTTAATTCTATATTAAAATGTTCCTTTTTTAAAAAAAAATTAAATAATCACTTAATGTTCTTTTTTCAAGTTAATTATTTTTTTATCGATTTTTATACATAATTATAATCATTAAAAATTAATTTATTTATATATTTTCGCTTTTCCTATCCTCGATAATTGTATTTTTTTTGTAATAATTAGTGAAGCGCGTGAAAAAAAAAATGACGAGGCCAGTTCGATTCCGGGCCGGGTTGCCCTGTCTCGGCCTGGACCCGGGTTAAAAATTTTTTGAATTTTTCTTTAAAGCATGAAAAAGGCAATATTATGTCGATTTCTTTAATAAAAAATTATTAATGGCCCGGCAATTTATCTTAGAATTTTTTGATGGTCCTGGCCTTTTAAAAATAATTAGGAACCCCTGGCTTAGAAACCTTCTTAAAAATTTCCAAGAGCCGCCAATCATCTAATTCGACTAACTATATTAAGATTTCTTCGGGGTGGGGGGGGGTTATCAGAAATGCAGATGTTTGACATGGTGAAACATTATAATAAATTATACAAAATTTAGGCTAACAATTTACTATAGTGAACTCTTATTTATTATAATTTTATAGTGGTGTTTGGATTCTATCCATTTTAAGCCGATTTTGAGCCAATTCCAAAACGGCTGTATCGGCTCGTAATACTCATGGTTTCAGTGATGGAGAATTTTTAGACGCCTGCGCACTATTTTCCACTTAAAATTACAATCGATGTAAATTCTATCTACCCCCCCCCCCTCCCCCCTTTTTCATTTCTTGTTTATAAATTTATTTTTTATAAAATATATAAAAAATAAATAAATTCCCCATCTAATTATGATAAATACATTTTTTTTTAAATGACATTAAAATGCTATTTAAAATAATTTTGCATTTATTATAGATTTATACGAGGATATTCCCCTCCATATTTTATGTCACTTTTTAGTAAAATGATAAAATTTTGGATACATAAAAAGTTTTTTTTAAATAAAAGTTTACGATTGATTTATTTATTATTTTAAAAAAAATTGCGCATATTTATGACAGGATTTGATGGATTTCCAATTCCTGCAAACCTTGGGTCAGGGCACTTTCGGGAAAGTTATATTGTCCAAGGAAAAGACGACGGGCAAATTGTACGCTCTCAAAATTTTGGATAAGAAGCAAATCATTTCGAAAGTTTAATTAAATTCATTCATTTTAGGCACGCGCTCAAACCGAACCGTTAAACCGGTATTATCCATTATTTACCGAACTTGATAATCCTGAACCGAACCTCTAAAATGTCTTATATTTTAACTCGATTTTAAAGATGATTAATTATTTTTAATTGATAAATAGTCATTTTTAATTTTTAATATATTTCTGTAATCGTTATTTGACGAATTAGCTATCCATAAAATTTATTCTTCCTCCTTATAGAACGTAATTTGACAGAAGAGAAGCATGAAAATATTTTAATTGTTACGGCATAATATTATTTTTATTATGAAACATAATTCTGTTACTCTTGTATACGAAAAGGTTTAAACCGAACGAATATTTTTTAGTTTTTGCTAACCTAAACCATCAACCAATATTGTTATCTGAACCTAAACCGAACCTATATTCTTTGCGATTTAGAACCCTGCTACGTCGTGGTATAAAATTGCGGCAAGGAAATAGATATCTGGCCCGAAATAGTAATCAATCTAAAACGAGGGCGGCCCTATTTAGTTTTAGCTAAAAATAGGTCAGGGACCGGTTCAATCCGACTTCAGGCGGATTTTACGGGTTGTTGCAGGGCTTTAGATCTTATATAATCCTGGACATCGCTCAAAGATGGTAGGAGGAGTCGTCTAATATTTATGGCATGTGTTATTGAGATTTCCTATGAGATAATTGATGTTCCGACGTTTTAATCGACGAACACCTTTATATTTTGAGCATATTCGCCACGATACATGTACTTATCAAACAGCATTTATATGCACGCTTAGGGTCTAATATGGCTCTTAATTTTTTTGTAAATCATTTTAACTTATAAATACATTTTTTTAATAATAAAAATATCATAGGACGAAGTTGCTCACACCTTGACCGAAAACCAAGTCTTACAACAAAGCAATCATCCCTTTTTAACTGTAAATAAGATGCCAATCATTACTTTGACAGCTTAGATCTGACAAATTATCTTGAATAATTTATGCTTTTTTTTAAAAAAAATATAAGATTGTTAAGTATCATTATTTTTTTGACGTTACTCGAACATAGTCCGGTAAGGGAATTTATATCAATTTTTATTAACTCAGTCATTATATATACCCACAAAAATATGAATCGAATAATAATCTTATTCGTCGAATCGAATGAATATTAAAACCATTTATTATTGCTCGATGTCTCCATGGCATCGCGATTTCATTTGGCCAAAGTTATAAGATAGCTACTATTTTCGCGTATCCTCTACTAGCCAAAATCTGGGATTGTTTTACATTTTTAAATTTAACACGATTTTTTAAAATAGCAACTCAAATATTCCTTTCAAACACCGGACAAACTTTGTTTCGTTTTGGAGTGCGCCATAGGAGGTGAACTCTACACCCATTTATCCCACGACAGAACGTTTACGGAAGAGAGAAGTCGATTTTATGGTGCCGAAATAACGACCGCCATAGGTTACTTACACGAACACGATATCGTTTATCGAGACTTGAAGGTAAAAGCAATCGCCATTTTTTTGTGTGCTCTTGCCAGATTTATAAAAAAACCTAAAATGTAGCTCAAAAAGGTTTAAGGAAGAGAAAAGGGGGGGGGGGCATGGCAATATTTTACAAAAGAATTTAGAAAAAAATGGCTGTAATATTTTAGAAGATATTTTTCCATGTTTTATACGTTCACATTATTTTATTTGAAAAAAAATTTGTCACAAAAAAGCTTGAAAATTTATTGTTGGATAAAGAAGGTCATATTAAAATCGCCGATTTTGGATTGTGCAAGCAGGACATAAGCTATGGCGATAAAACTAGGACATTCTGCGGAACTCCCGAATACTTAGCGCCCGAGGTAAATAGGATAAGATCATATGTCATTTTAAATATGCGCAGTTAAATATCATATACACATCGATTTAAAGCATCATATAAACTTCCTTCTCGTATCACGAGATATAGAGAGTATACTCCAAAAACAAATAGAAAATCGAAGAATAAATATCATTCTTATACGATTCTTTTGAACCAATCGAATAATTTGCTATTTAATCTATCAAATCCCATTCCCAATCTTCATTATTTCATCAGCTATGAATCCATTAAAATCTCTCGCCAGGGTTTTTTGTCTTGTGTCGAATTTTAGTCCTGTGATAAGCTCACCATAATAGATGAGCTAGTAATAGTGGTCGGCCTAAGAAAATTTTCTTCTCGAGTTTTTTTGGCCTGAACCGTAATTATTTTACCCGACCCGGCCGTTAATTTTTGTAAGTTATCCGACCCGGTCCTCGGTAAATTATTATGTAGGAAAAGGACATAAATTTGCCTAATTACCAACATCAATAACATTTTCGAAACTTTGACTCGGCGGCCTGTCGAAATCTTTTTATTGGGCCGGGCTTCGCCAACTTCTAGTTAATACTTTATAGCTAAAATCTCACACAAAATTGTCTAGGGAAAAAACATAATTTAAGATAGATCGATATTTTTTTTTGATAATCGAAATGTAATATCATCCTTTATCGCACGTAACCCCTCATAGCAGACCCTACTAAAAAAATTTTTTGCCTCAAACCTGACTAGCCTCTAATTTCTAATATCTTGGCTCCCAGGTAAACTGTTGTCTTAACCCCCTTTCCAACTGTAACTTCCTGACTACGTGCCTGGTCATCGCAATCATGATCAGTGTTCTTATATGTAATATATAATATAAATTGGGATCGTTCTTAAATCTTAACTCGAAATTTTTAATTTATGGGAATTTTGGCTTTATGCTTTCATCTTTCTGCGTTAATAGGTGGAATAAGATCGCTTAATTGAAACAAGAAAATTACTCAAAGTCAATAATTTCAAAGATATTATATCATATCTTCTGTAGCTTTTTATCCATTTAGTTAAACTGTAAAAAGAAAAAAAAAGATGGTTATATAATAAGGGTTATCCAACTTTTATATAAAACCAAAGAGATCCTTTTAAGAGTATGATTTTATATTATTTTATAAGGGTTAGTATAAATGTGTTAAATTGGCTTAAAGAATGAAATTTACATTTATACCTATAATCAATGAGTAATATATATTTTTTTAAAAGATGGATGTTGTGCCAATTTCAGATCATTTAATAAAATATAATAAATTCTTATAAACAGTTCTCTATATTTTAAAATTTATGAATTATTACAAAAAAAAAACACAAGCTTATAGAGGACGAGTATTACGGCCGTGCCGTAGATTGGTGGTCTCTAGGCGTGGTGATGTACGAAATGCTTTGCGGTCGGTTACCATTCCATCACCGCGATCACGAAAGGCTGTTTCAGATGATCGTAAGCCATCCGGTTAGGCTCCCAACGTCAACCCTTTCCGTTCCCGCTCGTTCTTTACTCTCTGGTTTGTTAGTCAAGGATCCGGAGAGGAGGTCTAGTCAAAATATTTTTCTTCTTCCTTTTTATTTGTTATTACAAACGATCCTCCGGGATTTACGGCTACTCGGTATACTCAGTAGCGGATAGATTCTATTCGGGATTTCAATTAAATATCTGGATCAATCAACGTTTAGCATTCTATTAGATTTTCACTCTTTCTGTTTCCATTATTTTTCCCTATCAAACCGTCCTTTACCATCGGGGCTAATAAGGAAGGGGGGGGGTGGAGGGGTAAGTTGCCAGCCTCCTTCTTGAATCCGCAAATTTATGCGCGATTTACTTAAAACGCTAAAATTATATCTAGACCTTCATAGATGGACTGCCAGAAATGACAAAGAGTTTTAACAAAGTCTGCGGGGTAACCATTCTTTGAGGAGGAGGGTTACGCCAATATTCAGAATATTTACCCGCTAAAGCTAAAATCTAGGTGTATATCTTATCATACTCAACGGAATTTTTTTTACTTGTTTCCTCTTTCCTTTATTTTTTTAAAAAAAATATTTTACTTTACGATTTTTGTGAGAATTTACTGACTTTTTAATTATTTATTTTCTCAAAAGATTTTGTTTATGCCAATTCTCTTATGAAATACCAAAATAATATTGGAGACGGACGGGACTAATCTAATAGAGGGCTCTCTATTGATTGTCAGATTTAATTGCCCATTACGCATAGAAAAAAATTCTATCGAGAAATTGTCATATTGCTACCATTTTACTTATTTCATAGAGAAATTTTTGATAAAAACCTCATTTATATATAATATATATATATCTTTAAATTTTTTTTAGCATGCTTTTTTGATTGGATTTTTTTTGTATAATAAAACCTAATATTATATTAAAGACCAATAAAATTAATTTATTTATCACGATGTTATTTATACACCACATCTTCTAATTAACTAAAACTATATTGCAAAAAACACCTGTTTTTTTAATCGTCCATTAATATTATATTACTTTATTTAATTTTAATAAATGCTAATTTTTGAAAATTATTTCATTTTCACATTATATTAATGCTTAATGCTGTAAAAGATGACTAGAAAACAATTAAAACTTTTCTAATCTTCCCAATTTAAATGTCTGTGAATTATGATTGACATTTGGTTTAAATACATAATTTAAATAACTCACGAGAAAATGTTATTAATGTGACATGCATTCATTATATTAAATTTCATCAGTTTTTTTTCTGAAATTGATTAAAAACTATTATTAAATTAGAAAAATTGAATTGACTAAAAAAAAATATTTTATAATTAAATTATATCAATCAAAAATTAATATTTGTCCGATATAAGTTTATTTTATATCTTTTTATAAATGTTAACACGATATTTTGGAAATGAAATCCAAAATCTTTCGACTTTATGAGCAAAATCTCTCTAGGCTTTCTTAATATCATTTTGGTTAAATTCTTACTAGTCATTTTTAAAAATCCACCCTTATCGCACTTTTTAACAACACTAGCTGTTAAGGCCTTGGGATTTAATGTGTAAGGTAGAAAAAGATGAGGTTAAAAATAGATTATCCGATGGAAACTCTTAAGGGTTAGGAATCCAGGCTGTAAGAAGGAAACCAAATATAGATTGAACTATGAATACTACTAAAAAAACGACTTCTAAAAAATTGAATCATTTACCAATCCTATTTTGTCTATATCGGGTTACGATTAAATTCATTATCTCTTATTTTTAAATCTTTGGTAATTGGCACCATAGAAAAAAAAATGGTCTAAATATAATGATTTGCTTTTTTAAAAAAAAATATTTATCGCTTATAATTTATAATGTGGTTTTTTTATTAACTGATATTAAACTTCTTCTCCGTTTAATGGCGATTTCCATGCTTATCCAGGATGGCCAGTTTTTCCTCTTATTTTGCTTTTCCATTTTTGACGGTCATGAGCATCAATACTTGTAAGATTTATTTTTCTGATTTTAAACGATTATACTATTTAATTAAAGATTGGGCGGTGGACCTGACGATGCCAAAGAGATTATGAGGCAAGCCTTTTTCGAGTCCATCAACTGGGAAGATTTAGTTGCCAAAAAGGTTAATTATTTTTTGATTTATATTTTTTATAAAGTTCTGTAAATCTTTTGATAGATTGGATAGATGATCTCAGCAACCCCGTATTGCCTGAGGAAGCACCTAACCCCACTTCTTTTTTTTACATTTATAAAATTTAGATAACCCCTCCTTTCAAGCCCTACCTAACGAGCGATACCGACACGCGTAATTTTGACACAAAATTTACTCGCTTACCAGTCACCATAACACCCCCTAATACCCCTCGTAGCGCGTCATCTAACTCGAAGAGCATGAATTCTTCGAATAGGTTCGACTTTTCCAATCAAACTAACAGTAATTTATATTTATTTAATTGTCTTCCTTTTCCCAACCAAATCATTTTTTAAAATCAACGAGAAAAATTTATTCTCAAAACTTTGAACAGCTTGTGGCTACCTTACGGAGACTTTATCATAATATTAATTATATAATTTGTATTATAATTTTTTTGAATAAATTAATGACAGAAATTATTTAAGTTTAAGCTATAAAGGTCAGCCAGGGCCAGTTTAGGCGACTTCACAATCCGAAAAATCTTCCGTAAACAGCTGCATTTACATCAAGAACAAGACCAATTTGACCGACAAAATAGTTCCATTTGATTTCTAAACTATCTGAATGCAGCTGATCACTTTTTTGAAAGTTTTTTTGTGGAGCGATCTGGACCTGTCCGGTTGACAGCCACTAGTCATTAAGGCATTCCCTATTCTCATGAAGCTTTAAGAACCTCCCTATATCCTATTATTAAAATTTTTGTAAATCAAAGTTAATTCGCCCTTTCAACAACCGTTAAATATGGCAAATCAAAATTTTCCTTTGCTGCAGCAACACCAAAACAATCAGTTACACTTTTCCCATTTTACCCTCGCCGGTTCCACTCTCTCGTCCATCAACGAAGACCCTGATAACGAACAACCTCATTTCACCAAATTTTCATATCAGGATGTAAGCGCCTTGGGAAGTTCTCATTCGTGCGAAAATATGGAACGGATTATGGACAGCTGAACCAAGAAAAAAGTTTTGTTTCAAGTTTTAAATGGTCTTATTTTTTATTTAGCAATTACTTAATAATACCTAGGACTGAATATTTATTCATTTTAAATATGTATCCATACAAATCAGGTGACACCATTTTGGTCTTCCTATTATAAGAAATTGTACATTTAACCTGCATTGCATGAACTATGTTAGAATGAAAAATTTTTTGCCAAACTAGATTTTTTTCTTTCTCTCGATACTATTGCTAATCTCTTGGCTCACTTTTTTTAAAAAAAATTCTAAATTTCTTAAAAGATGAACGGTATATGCGTATTATACACATGCAATTAAGGATAAAAATTTCAATATATATAATTTTATTTTAATACAACAAATATTAAATGTTTAAACATTTTAATTTTTATGAAAATCTATTAAACAATTATTCTTGTGTCTAAAACATAAATATACACCACATTTTTTTGCAAGATACTTTTGTTGTAAATAAGCATCCTGGCATTTTACATCTAACCTTCTTATCATTATATTTGGATCAATGAGCCGTTAGGTTTTTCCTAACCTCTTCATATGGTAAAGATTGGGCCGGTCCTTTTTTACATTTTTCCCGATAATCAGTTTGAATTGATTTTGTTTTTATATAATCTATTATAAATATCTAGATTTCAGTGAGACATATGAATCAGAAGAAGAAGAGAATATCAATAATGAAAAAGAAATGTTAGGAGAAAAATTGTTTAACAAATTTACCATTAATTATTCCAAAGTGGAGAGAATAAATTTCAAAGGTTGATAAATATAAAAAAACCTATGGATTATTATAATATATATCTCAATGAAATATTATCTCTTATTGTTTGTGATTCAAATTTATATGCCACTCAATGTTACCTCAATAGTCCAGAGATGAATTAGAGAAATTTATAGGAATCATTTTTTATATGTCTATCAAACTTCCACGTCTTTACTGAGCCACTAATACAAGACAAGCCAAGGTAGCAAATGTTATGACTCTCAATCGCTAGGAACAAATCATTCATTATAGATGGCCATGACCCACTTCATAAAATTAGACAGCTATTAACTTAACCAATAATGTACTTAAATCTTTATCTATGGGCGAAAATATTTGCGTGGCTGAGCTAATGATTTCTTACAAAGGGATCTGTTGGGAAGTTGATATCTGGAAGTCGATTACCTCTGATCGTGGCCTCGCAAAATAATCCTCTTTGAGCGAGTACGACATCCAAATTTGGGGAACAAAATCAGTTATAAAAAAATAATTTATGATTAATTTGTTGCGGTATTTAAGATTTTAAACGGAGCACAGCATTGCCACTTGCTCCAACATCAGGGAATCCTTTCGCTGGTAGTATTTTCCCAGAATATATTTTGAAATTGTGCAGGAGGCTATCATCTCCGCATAGTAAAAAGAGTTTATAGCCCCATTTTTTGAGCTTTTGAGGGTCCTTTGTAAGGAATAATTTGCTCATCCACGCAAATATTCGCCTAGTAGTTAATGATTTAAGTACATTATGTTAGGGTTAATAGCGGTCTAATTTATGAAGTGGATCATGGCCTTCAATTCCAAATGGAATCAATTTGTCATTATCATTAATATAAATGAATGATTTGTTCCCAGCGATTGAGTCATAACATCTGCCATCTTGGCTTGTTTTAATGACCCAGTAAAGACCTGCTCTTGGAAGTTTGAATTGACATATAAAAAATGATGCCTGGATAAATTCAAAGGTTTATTGGGGTTATATTGAGTGGCTTACAAATTTGACTCATAAATAATAAGAGGTAATATTTCATTTCCACTGGTTTTTTTTAGCTTTATCAACCTTTGGAATTTCTCCTTTCCACTTTAGAATAATTAACCGTAAATTTGTTAAACAATTTTTCCAAACCATTTTTCTCCTAACGGTTTCCTTTTCATTATTGATATTCTCTTCTTCTTTTGATTTATCTGTCTCATTGAAATCTAGATATTTATAAAATTATATAAGAGCATAAATTTTAAATTTATCTAAATCATTATTTTGTGTTGATAAAAACTCCTCATCAGACCTTTCACTTAAATTTAAATCATCACTATCGTTAGGTATGTTAGCACAATTCATAATTCTAAAAATATAAAACTCAAATAAAATACTTTGAACATTAATTTGTTTGATTATCTTTAAATTAAATATGGGGCAAACAGCCACTAAAATGATATGCCAAGCGGTCAGTTTGATTTACTTTTTAAAGGTATTGGATAAATAATTAAATGGTCTACGCTCATACACGGTTAGTCTGAAATCTCATTAATCTATACATTCTTTCTGGTTTTAAGTGAAAAATAGAGTTTAGGGGGGTTTTTTTAGATAAAATTTTTAATTTCACCTTGAAAGATTTTTTATGCATGAAAATTACAAAAGATTTACGTTTTAGAAAGATTTTGCCATTTTTTAGGCAAAATTTTATTAAAAATCTGTTCTTTCACAAAAAAATAGATAGATTTTTTGAAATGGTTGGAAAACGTTTTTTTTCTTCTGAAAAATAATTAAATTTTTTTTAAAAAAAAACATATTTTTTAAAAGGTTTTAATGGGAGGAGTAAAAGAAAATCATGTCCACAATTTCCGTTGAATTTATTTTTGTCAAAAGAGATGGAAAAACGATAAATTATTATTTAATATTTTTATAAATTTTTTGCATACACATAAAAATTAAAAAATAATTTAATTCGCAATATAAACAAAAGTTCCCGAGTCATATCTAGGTGGGTAAGGGGAATTATATTTGGTGTCAAATAACCTGTTTAAAATTTATAATGGCGCGAACTCAACGTTTATTATTATATATATTTTTTAAATTGAATTATTCTATTATATATTTTTGGATTTCATATTTTTAAAGTGTTTAATAGTAGAATGGGGATAAATTGGACCCGGTTAAGGATAAGATTTGGATGAAAAGTTGAAAGATTTAATAATAGTTCCAAATTAAGATATTTACATCATTATATTTATATATTATCTAAGAGATTATGAATTGTGATAAACTAGTACTATTTATTTATAACATTATAAAACCCTGAATTTTAATATAAGCATTAACCACAACAAAGATATCATTCTTCATATTTATATATATTCTATATTATAATGTAGTTTATACAGTGGCTTAATACACATTTGTTTTTGAATTGTTTCATTTATTATATTATACATATTTATAAAATATTAATGGGAGGGAAAAAAATGTACATTATAAAATATATATATTAGTTATTAATAAAATGTTCTTTTTAAAAAAATATATTTTGTTCGAGTGCGAAGATTCTTCCCAGGAAAATACCATGTCATTTCTTGTCTAAAATTGTCAACAATATGCCTCTTGATATTTCTTTAGCTAAAAAAATAATTAAAGCTTTTATAGCATTTTAAATTTATATGAATATCATTTTATATAAATACTAAATGTATTTCACCAACAACAATATCATTTATGGAAGTCCAGGAAAAATATACATATATCATATGGCCGGTAATCAGTGTTGGTAAAATACATAAAAACTTCTCTTGAAAAATAACGATCACTGCTTTTCGAAAAATATTAATAAAATAAAATGGCCCCCAAATTCTAGAGCGGTCCGGAGACCTTTTAGACCGAGCCCAGGTTTAGAAATGAAATCAATTTTCTATCCCCAACCTGAATCATTTAATTTGATTATTTTAAGGTTCGGGTATTTTTTTTAAAAAAAATATTTGGTCATTTCTAAATAATTTGTGGTTGTATTTTGTAAAAGGTTTTGAAAGGAAATTGAAAATATGGGAAGCCAGCTGATTAAATTTACTTTTACTGGCCCGGGTTTTTCATACTATTTTACAACCCAAGGTGCTACGTGTCCCTTAAAAATACGTTTTGAATTTTATTACTAAATAATCGAGTTTTTGACGATCAGATAATGGTACGACATGCTTATATGGAGTGCTCTCTAAACGAATTAATATTATTTATCTCGCACGCGTTTTCGACTACAAGTATTTTAGATCATTAGCTATAGTTGATTAAAATTATGAATCAAGTTTCAACTAAAATATAGGTACTTAAAAAATTTTAATTGTTTTTTTTTCTTTCTAATCTTTGTTACTTAATAGTTAGAAAAAGTAACCCGATACTTTAACAAATTCTGACCGTTTTATCATGTGTAATACGTTAAAACGTCTCTTTCTTTCTATTTTTTATATTAAAATACATACTCGTAAAGTTCTAATTTATTGGCAAAAATTTTAAATACCATTTAAAAAAAAGAAGATTAAATTAAGCATACTGGATCTGAGTCAAATAAAAATCGAAAAAAATGGCGGCATATTACTATTTTTTCTAAATATAATATTAAACAGCCCTGCACAATAAATTTAAAATTATTTATCAGCTGATCTGAGAATATATTTATTTTTTGAACAAGGCTCCAATCTCGGACCCGGTTTGATCAGTCTGCGCAAAGCTCTAATATTTTAAAGTAACAATAATGGTATATATATATTTTATTATATTTTTTTACATTCCTCGAGGCCTAATTTAAATGTGATATGTTGAATTTCTTTGATTTTTTTATTGAGATCATTTTGCGACATATTTCCTAATTCTATATAAAAAAAAATGTATATATTTTATATTATTATAAAAATCCAGAATTTTGAAACTGCCCAAAAATTTTGAGTTAAAAAAAATATATTTGAAGGTTTCACAGAATTAAATATCTTTTTTTTGTTAAAAGATCAAAAAAAATTGTGATTTCATCGGGAAAGATTACTTTTTATGCATAAAAATTACAAAATTTTTTCTACTTAAAAACGATTTTGTAATAAAGAAAAAAAGGTTCTGAAATATCAAGTAAAATTTGATTATAAAAACCCAGTTCGACGCCGCATTTACAGTTAACGCGAAACAAAAATACATCATATTTTGAAAACTTAGCCGCGAATTTGTGTTAACTGAATAGCTGGGTGACCCCTCATTCAAAGTTAGGGCGAATTCCTGGCGGAGAATACTAATATACAGCGTATTTTATAAAAGTCACAGCGAATTCGGGCTAACTATGAATGATTGGTGAGCCATTTTCTCAAAAAAAAAACATTTGTAGTATTTGTTTAAGGTTACTTTTGAAAATTATTTACTTGACTACTTAGATTGACAGTTACTTTGTACTAGAGTCTATACTTTTCTGGATCTAATAGATAATTATAAGGCAACCGTCAATCAACAATATTGCACATTGTTAGTTGGTCGGAATTAAATAATAATAACAATAAATTATATGATTATTATGGTATGTAAAAAAAAATATAATTTTTTTGATAATAAAAAGTTCATATTATTATTATTATTAAATTACAATTGTAAAAATTCTTAAAATTATTGGATAAAATTTGTTGAATTTTTCTTATGCGAGAAGCATTATTTTTTTGATTATATTGAAAAAATCATAATAAAAGATATTAGATTTAAAGTGAAAATTTTTAAGTATTAAACGAAAACTTGAGTGAGATAAAAAGACTATATAAGATACTTACTGATCCATATTTTTTTTATAGCTGATCTCGACTAAAAACTTTAGCGACTAACATTAATCGATAAGTCATTTTCGTGGATTTGCGTAAAAATTTTTCTCCTTTTATATATTTTTAATTTTAGGTGGATTTATTAATAAAATAAATAATTTTTAGTCTTAGTTGACTAATTTAGTGGCTAGTTTTTAGTCGAATTTTTCGATTATAACTATTAGTTAGTCGATTAACAATACTAAACTGAATGAAAAAAGGAGGACATTTCAAGGAAACCCGAAAAGTCGTTGAAGGATAACATACAATTTCTTGATTATTTTTGAAGATAATTGTCATAAAATCTTTTAGAAGACCTCAAGATAATTTAAATTTTATTTGTGATACAGGTCCGACGAGGTTTGAATCTGACCAAGTCTGAGACTGGCCAACCTGAGTGATCAGACTTGGTCTATGCATGATTCTACTTTATACATGATAATAAATTAAAAAAAATTTTAAATTGTATATGATCCAAATTATATGCTAGTATTTGAATTGTAGAATTTTTTTTTTAAAATAAAATAAAATAAGGTAAATTATTTTTTCAAAATTGGAATAGCTGGGGACACTATTTGCCTTATTTAGCAAAAATTACTATGTATTTTATTTAATAAAACAATTCAATTTGTGGTATCTTGTGAATGAGATATATAAATTAATAAATCTTGTATAAATGTCACATTTTTTCATACTTTCTTTCATTGTATATAATTTATGGTACCAAGAACTTATCTTTGGGGTGTGTATGGGGGTTAAAATTTCAGATTAATTAAGGACATCATTTTTGCTTCACATATGGCTGAATTTTCTCTGCAAGTGTGCTATCACTTCATTAGAGAAAAATACATAATAAATTTGTTCTTCATGTAGCCTGCCTATATAGAATATGTAACTTGCCAAAACAAACAAATTAAGAATTGCCAATGAGTGCAAAACACATTTCCTTATGTGTTTAACATAACCTTCATGGTTTATTCTATTTACAAAACATATGGTTGGTCAATATTAAGCTAACTAAATATAGCTAAAATCAGATTGGTCTCTTATAAAGCTATATTTGTACAGTTCTAAACAATAAATATTAATTGGTCATAAAATTTGGACTTGATTATTTATTTAACTAAATATTATTTTCAAAATTAGTTGTGAATCTAATAGACATGTTGTTGTCTCCCCCAATAAGTTACTAAAGCAATTACAGTAGCATTTCCTGCACTAACTTTTTTTTCTTGAAGTGCAACATTTTTTCCCCAAATTAAGATGACGAAGGGTATTTTTCTTGTTATAATAACATCATATTTAGATGATGCTGGTAATAATACTTATAAGAAAGTAATTTTCACAATTTATCCATACAGACTTCTCAGGTTATTTCTACTGAGTCATCACCATAATATCAATCAATCAAAATGATTTATTTATAGAGCCTATGAGAAAGAAATAATGCCAATTAGAATTGATTATCAAAAACTGGGGATTAATACCCAATTTAATCAAAATTTGATATTGGAATAAATTAAAAAAAATAAAGTATATGTGATTATATTTTGAGATAGACCAAAATTTTTAACAAAGATAATATAGTTATGATTCTTTTTAGTCAAAAAGTAGATATTTATTTAGTATTGTTAGTGCTCAATATATGACAACTTTTTAAAAAGAGTTAACTCAAAATTTTTGTCTAGCCTTGTCACTAATAGATGTCTTATACCATTGGCATTTATTAACAAAATTTATAATTTTACCAAAAAGTTTTAAACAAATTATACTTAAGGTAAAAAATAATTGCTAAACCTTGTATCATTTTAAAATCATCCATGTCCATTTCTTTTAATAGATTTGGAATATCATTTGCACTTTTGTCGTCGGATTCCTATAAATTTAGATTAATGTTTAAATTATTAAATATAATTAAAAAATTTGTTTAAACCAAAAATAATGTTATAATAATAATATATTTTGAAATTAAAATAAAGATCATTTTCACAGAATTTAATTAAAATGATATAAAAATACCAATTCCTATGAATTTCAAAGAATAAATTTATGTACTTGTAGATTCAAAAAATCAGACAATCCAGGAACTAAAGAGAATTGTTATTAAATAAACAGTGATCATTTTACCTGGATCAATTTGTATAGGAGATGTTCTAGTCAAATTTTCTAGAGTATGTAATGATAGTTGTGAAATACCTTTTAAATAATGACATACACAACAAAATATAAATTTAGATATAATTGTTATATTTTAATAGTTATTTGTGGAATGCCTTACACATAAAATTATGTAAATGATTCAAACCTTTTTCATTTTCCATGTTCCCCATTTCGTAAATTTTCTTTACCATATGTTTTAACAAATGGCTTTTAGTTAAAAGCAGGGCTGAACCAGAACCCTTCGAATTATCAATATTTTACTGAACCCAAACCTAAAACCCGAAGCCTTTTTTAAAATTAAGGTTGCAGGGTTCGATAGTAAATATCAAATTTTGACTTACTTTAAAATATATATTAAAAATAAAAAAAATATGTTTAATAAATATGTGCAGAAGCCAAAATTACGTGATAAAAGCGTTTTCGCCCTCTAGTTGTGGATACAACAGAGCTACGCTAGGTTTTCCTCAAAAATCCATCAAACTGGATAGTTAATTAAGGGGAGAAAAATGAGGAGCCCTTCACACGTTTGTGGGCAAGCCGCACGTACTTGTACGCGCAACAGTCCGAGAACTGTTACTTAAACGTCTATAGGCTAATAGACAAAAAGAAATGGGCAAAACAAAAGCCTATACCCAAGAACTGCAAAAATAATTTAATTACTTTAAGGGTGGGTGGTGGCTAATTTTAAGTTTAACATCTTTAATGATAGCCTTGATAGTTACTATCAATAATTGAGAATGTGTTCATATCAATTGAAATTAGAAATGAAGGTAAAAAGAAAAGGTAATTTATATTTATCACATTTTTGAATTATAATTTTGTGAGTAAGGAAAGGCTCTATGATATTCTTGCCTGGACGGTAGGCACAGATGTATTTCGTGAAAAGATTGTGTGATGTTTGTAGAATTTGTGTCTTAGGTAAGACCATAAAGACCTTAAACGCAATAGAGGTGAGAGCTATACCCCTTTATTCTCGAAAGTTGATGGGATTTGGGATCTTTGGAAAATTGCACATCGTTGATAGGTTCCAATCTTTAGGAGTTATCCCAGAAGACCATACCTTATTAAAAATAATGAGCAGAAAACGTGGTATCGCGTCTGATGCAGCTTTCAGTTGTTCCCCCGTTATATTGTCCGGTCCAGGAGCTTTGTGATTTTTCAGTTTCTTTAGGGCAGCAGATATCTCAGCCAGTGTAAAATGGGAGGCAGATTGAAAGGTAATATATTTTTCCGGAAAAACTATCGTGGGTTTTCTAGATTCAAAGACATTCATATAATAATCAGTCCATAGGGACATTTGATCATCCTGATCATATATAACTTTGTTGTTTTCTAACCGTATCGACGGTACTCTCTAAAAAAAAATTTGATTTGCAGAAATTATTGAGTTTGTTAAATAGTCTACCCCCTCTCATATCTTCATCAACCTCAAAGGCTTTCCTAGCTACAAAGATTCTTCTATCACTCCTTAAGGACCTCTGGATGGTTTTCCATAGTTCTCTATCAAAGTAATTTGTGCAGCGAAGCTCCTAAATCATCATTGAAGTTGTTATTGATATCCATTCATTCCTAATCGAAGCATTGTTATTTGTTAAGGCCTGCTCACTTCCTGAATATCTTCTTTAAACATTAACCAGCATTCTTCAACCATTTTAGATAGGGCTTGTCCTCAAATCTAATGACCTTTTCACACAAATTATGGTTAAACCTATCTCTAATTTCTGGTATTTGTAGATTTCTAAATATTTTGTCTACTAATTATATTTATCGGGAAGTTAAATATTATAAAAATATAAAATTCTTTAATATAAAAGTAAATATATTCTATTTGTTTATCTAGGCAAAAATTCTATAAAAGTTATGAAACAGATATAATAAATATAAAATGAAAATGTCTGTCATAAAAGTAAAAAATTTAATAGAATAAGATAAAATTTAATAGAATAAGATGAAATTTAATAAAATTTAATGGAATAAGATAAAATTTAATGGAATAAGATAAAGTATAATAGAAACATGGATGTTATAAGAGGGTAAAACTATACCTGAGCTGTAAGTTTTATAATGAATATAGCAAAGAAAGAAGTAAAATATAAAGATAGGTCTAGCTTCCAGAAAATTTATAAAAATAATAATAATTATTAAAATAAATTATATTAGAGATTCATAAATATTAAAATCAATTATTATTTGTTAAATCATCTATAATAAAAATTAAAATAATATAAAAATAAAGTTAAAATAAAAAGGCTACTAAATAAAATAAAATTAAAAGAAAGATATCATAAGTAAAGTATCATATCAATATTAAAAGAAAGCAACTTGTGACTAAAATTAAGGAATCATCATAAAAAGAAAGCAACTTGTGACTGAAATTAAGGAAATCCTCATCATAAAAAGAAAGCAACTTGTGACTGAAATTAAGGAAATCTAGGTAATTTTGTCCAACCTCTAGTTTCATCTAGTATTGATATAAAGGATACAACTCATTGTCATAATTCAGTTGTCTTTACATATTGAAATTATTTAGTGGTTTGGCAGTAATAATGAAATTCTTAAAATTTTAATGAGTTTGTATCTAAAATATAAAATAAAATCATCAAAACAAATAACCTCCATGCTATCAATGTCAGGGGAACTTTTATCCGTTATCTGAATAACAGGTCCGAATGCTATTTAGGTCTCTTCCTTTCAAAAAAATTCTTCTCATAATTTTCATTTTCAACACACGTAAATCCCATTTAAAAATTTCAAATATCCTATTCTCTTTAACTAGATCGTATCATATCATACATTGGACCGGAAATCTCTATGATTCTGTATAAATAATCGTTCATTATAATATATGTGTCCGAAGCCAAAATTAAGTTTAAAAAAAAACTGATATTTTTTTTAACTTGCCGAACCTGGTTCACAAATATTTCACTGAATCAAAACCTAAACTAAATTTTTTTAAAAAAATAGGGTTCAAATCCTGGATAAACGGAAACTTTGGGTCAGAAAAATATCGCCTAAACTACGAGATCTAATAAATGTCTTGTTCTTTGCGCCATCTATGAGAAAAATCTTCAAAAACTATTGAGTTAGCCATTCTCAAAAATTAGATCTCGATTTAGTTAGATTATAAAAAATGGCTTGATATTTTTTTGACAAAAAACCTTGAGATTTGGCAGATTGAGGTTCAAATATTTCTGCTATTTATTAGCAAAATCTCTGGCAGGAGAGGAGGGGAGGATTGACAATTATTCTTTTTTAGCGGCATCATATTTATGGGTTTTTCGCCCCCAACCCTCTATTTGTTGCAATTTAAATTCTTATTCAAACATTTAAAAGAATTTAGGCTATTCCTTTCTTATAGTGTTATTAAATTGGCTAGTTCCTAACAGAAGAAAAAATTTACAAGTCTCAAGAGACGATGTATATATTTTTAAAGATTGAGATATCAATTAAGTTTAAACATTACTGAAGCTAAGATAATATAGGCCTAAGAATTAAATTTAATTCTTTTAGAGTTGATTCTTTATCTGCTAAAGTGACTCTATTTCATCACTATATGATGTTGGTAAATCTTACTTTATATTTTAAATAAGGGAGAAGCAAAATTGACTTATAAAAATTTCTATAAATAATATATATTATTTTTAAAAAAAACTTTCTGTTTTTCAATCTTTATGTTACTATAAAAAAATATATGAAAAAGAATTTTGAATATCAAAAAATTTTAATATGTTATATGGAAGAGAGTGGGGTAGGTGAATTGGCTAAGCTCTTCTCAAAATTTATAAGTGGTGGGGGTTATCTCCCAGCCCACATCGCAATACATTAATGGTGATAAGAAAGTTTTATCACAATATTGGATGATAATTGCTAATATTATTTAATGGTGCAAAATCAATCTATTTGAGCCGATTTTTCAAAACGGCAAACTCAGTATTAATCCAGAAAAATATTACACAAGCCCGAAGATTTTGCTATAAACGGCACAAAGGTTTGTATATTTATTAAAAAAATCTTGAAACATATGCAATATATTTCTGGATAAAATATTGACTTATTTGTTTTAATTAATAGGCTCAAATGGAGCGATTTTATATTACTACTGAAGATCACAATGATGGGTTTATCTCCATCAAAAAATTTCCTTAAAAATTTCTAAGATTAATATCTCCAGCTTACACTTTCCCCTCTCGAGATTCTTAATATTTTAAAAGATTATTTATTTAATCCTTTTTCTATCACTTTTTTTGAAGTTAATTATTTAAGTTAAAATCTTATACCTCACATATACATTTATATTATAAATTTTTTTTAGTATACATTCAACATCTTATATTAACAAATAATTGTAACTAATTCTATAAGATCATAATCGAAAATAATAAAAATTCATTTTATGATAATTACATATTTTCCTAGTTCTTATAACCACATTCATTTTGCACGCCATATTTGTCAATTTTCTTAAATCGTTTGTACAGGTATAAATTTTAATATTATATATATATTACCATCTTTTTCATAATCTCTTTTTTTTCATATTTATTTTAGCTAGCCCTTTTTTTTGACTTTTTTTTGACTTTTTTGCGAGAAATACTTATGGCTGATTCAAATAAAACAAATCTTATTATTAATTATCTACCACAATCGATGACAGATGCACAATTTCATAATTTGTTTGAAAGTATTGGACCGACGGTATCTTGTCGAATTATTAGAGATAAAAACACAGGATATAGTTTTGGCTTTGGCTTCGTTGAATACAAAGATCAAAAGCATGCAAGCTTAGCTATAAGCACCCTAAATGGATATAAGATGCAGCATAAAACTTTAAAAGTCTCACATTCAAGACCTGGTGGAGATAAAATTAAAAATACTAATCTATATGTTGCTAATTTGCCCAAAGATATTGATGAGACCAAGTTAGACAATATTTTTAAAGCTTTTGGTACTGTTATACAAAGCAGAATATTAAAAGATTCATTAGGATTATCAAGAGGTATTGGATTTATTCGATATAATTACCAAGATGAGGCTCAATTGGCTATTGAAACTCTAAGTGGAAAGACATTGCCTGGCACTAATCAGGTTATCACTATAAAAATTTCATCGGATAATGACAAAAAGCAAAAGGATATTATTCAAAAATATTCCAAGGTTAAATCTGTAAACATCTTTGATCCAAACCAACCCAAATCACTCATGGATCTAGAGTCTGCCACTGCAATTTTATCAAAAAATCCATTAGCTGCTGCTAATTTGGTAGCGGAAACTCCGTATGGAGCTATGATGGGTATGGGTACCTTCAATGATAATGCTTATTCAAGAATGAAACAATACAATCAAGGGTATTCTAATAATAATAATAGCAGAAATATGAATGGTAATAGTAATTCAAATCAATTTACATATGGTATGACATCGTATTATGATATCATGAATATGCCATATAACAAAAATTATAATGATGGAATGAATCAACCACACCATGGCCAGCATCCTAATCAGCATAAAAATTCCATGAATATGATGTCAATGATGATGGGTGGTAATGATAATGATGTGAACAACTCAAATTATGGTCCTAATAATATGTCCGGAAATAATCCAATGAGTAATAATTATTATGGTGGAGCAGCAGGACCTAATAATCCTAATAGAAATGTTAATTCATTGATTACATTAACTGGTAATCCAAATGCTCATAAACATCAGTTGTATGATCCTGAACTTAACAATGTTAATATGCCCATGAAACCAAATCAAAATTATCACAATGCGCCTGGCATTTATAATAATAATAATAATTCGTCAGGAAATTATGGTGGCAACACTGATACTAATGTTGGAAAATTACTTTTTGTTTATAATATTGGTAGTGATACGACGGAAAAGGAGTTGATTAATTTATTTTGGCCTTATGGTACAGTGATTAAAGTGGATATTCCTAAGGACACAAAGAATGCAGCAGCAAATAAAGGCTTTGCTTTTGTTGCAATGTCTAATATAGATGAGGCTAATCTAGCTATTCAATATCTTAACAATTTTACTTTTAAAGAAAAACCTTTACAAGTTTCAATCAAGAAGGACTAATTATTTTAAAAAAAATAAAAGTGAATGAAAATTTGTTCAATGAATTATTTTTCTGTAAATACTTTTTATTCTTAATTTTGTATATAAAATATTTGGCATATTATATATGTTAATATAATAAATAAATTGTTATAAATATAATTTTAATAAAATATTAATAAATTTATTTTTGTGATAGTAAGTTTAAAATAAATTTAATTAGTTGTGACTTTTTGTTATGTCTATCACTAATGTATATTTTTTAGGCAAATGTTTTTTAGGCTAAGGCCATCCAGCTTGTGTTGTTAAATGGCCTGATTTTTATTTTTGCCAAAATAATATTATGTAAGTCTGGAGATTTAGCTTATAGATGGCAGAAAGGTTTGGGCCTCTATTTGCAAAATGGCTAAAATCCAAGCCATTTTTAAAAATTGACCCAAATCGAGCTATTTATCAACTCTACATACAATTGAATGTTTAGTAAAAAAAATTATTCTATTACATTAAAATATGCAAATTATTCAGAATTAATATTAGGCAACAATAAAAAAATTTTTAATGTCAACAAATATCAAAATTTTCTGAAATTATATTTTGCAAAAGCTTGATTTTTAATTTTTTTACAATCTTATAATCGTATACCACTGGTATGGTAACCTTATAAATATCTAATTAGATGGCCCAGAAAATTAAAGAGTGCTTGTATTCTGAGTTTTTTTCAGGAATGTCTTAGATATCTGTTATGAGTAAGCTTTTAACCCACATCATGTTCACCTACCCATTTCTCTTGACAGGTTAAAAAAAATTTACATAATAAATTTTAAATGGCCACTACTTGATATATTTTTAAATTTACATCATTATCAAATGAAAAAATATCACCATCTTGTAGAGCTTATCTTTTTCATTAAAAGAATGTTGTTTTTTTTGGAAAAAATGCAGTTTTATTTTAAGTCTCATGTTCTTCTTTGAATTTTTGTATGATCTTTAATATAATAAATTGATCTCTATTCAATTTCATATTTGTTTGGTCACTAGTCATTACATTTAACATAATATTTTTTGTATCTCCTCACTTGCACCTTTTATTTATCATGTCTGCTTTCTTTTTTTAATTTTCTTTTAATAACTCATCAGTCATCAGAATACTCTCAATAAATTTTGTTATATTTTAAAAAATATCTAATTATTTAAAAGCAAGATTTTACAGTAAATTAATCAAAATGGGCAATATTTATATAATATAGAAACACACTCTTCTGAGCAGTATTTTTATATCAAACAAATAATTTGGGCAGTATTTATAAAATATTGAGCAGTAAAAAAATAAATAAAATTGAGTTGTAACCTAAAATTGTCCAGTATTTGTTAGATAGTTGTTCAATATTTTATAAATCTATTATAAGCTATCAAGTATATTTTATAAATCATCAATCTCTATTAATAAGCTAAAAGTGGTCCTCTTTACATTTGAATTTTTTTTTATATGAATTTGTATTTTAATTCAAATATTATAAAATTAAATTGGTGATTAAAAGAAATACGACTATTATATAATATAAAATTTTTGTTAACTAAATATCACTATTTTTAGCTGGTTAAACCAAGTTTTTAGCCAAAATTATCATTCTGGCCTCTGGTTTTTTTTAAAAAAAATATAACAGCTTAAATTTGAAAGAAACTAATATAAATTGAAACATCTTATTGTTAACAAAATTTTTTCAGCATATAGCTATAGATTGAGCTGAATTAGCCAACATTTAGCCATTACCTAACTATTAAATACACATATTTTAGTAACATATTATATAGAAATTAACATCAAATAGGAAAAAAAAATAATTTAAAATATCAAAAGTGAGATGTGTTATGGAATTTCAGTAAATCAGAGAAATGGGAAAAAATGTTATTAGTATTGGATATCACCAATGCCCAGCCGCTGTAACATCTTATTTTTTTTTTGTTGAGATCAAGAAAATTCACAGGCTGTGCAAAATTTGTAAATTATTTTTAGTATATAGGGTGAATTCCTTGACAAATCAACATGAACTTCAACCTGAGCCCCTTAGATTTTTCTATAATTTTTTACTAGAGCTTGCATATGTTCTAAGAAAATTTTTTTTTAGCTTCCTACTCCAAACAGCGGCTGAGATATGGGACTCTAAATGTCAAAAAAAATAGGGCATTTTGGGCAAAATGTTCTTTAATTTTAAATATCTTTGAATATGATTAAGCTAGACACTTCATCTAAATTAGCCTAATGAAAAGTATATAATGTTGAGAAATTTTAAATGTCTAAAACCGGAAATGGTCATAAAATCAAACTGGTTATTTTTTATGAATAGCTACAGAATTAATAAATGTGAAAAAATTTTAAGTTGGGTCGAGCATTTAGGAAATATGGCATTTTAATCATTAGTCAATTGTAAAAATTTGTAATAAATATTTGAAAAATCATTAATTGAGATATATCAAAGCTAAAATCTTTAAAATATTTTATCTATTTAAATTAGAGACCCGCAATGGTACCATTTGTTTAACTCAACATGAATTTTTTAAAATATTTAATTTATATATATAATAATGGAAGTTTAAAATATTCGGCCGGGCCCAGTGTTTCTAAAACAAAATTTCTAGGTCTGGTCTGGCCTGGATTAAAAAGCACTTTTTAGGCCTGGCCTGACCTCATTTATATCCAAAGATATTTAAAATGAAGGGGTTTTTTTTTAGTTATAATATATGCAAACTATTAAAACTTTTAAAATAATCTGATGGGGGTCGGGTTGAAAATCATGTTTTTTTTTGTTGATTTAGCATGGAATTCACTATTACATTTGATGAATTCTGATATTTAATAGAAATAACTAATATTTTTTAAATTTAAAGCCACTCCCCAACATTATAAATTAATTGTTTATTTTGGGGTTCAACAAAATAAATTTTGGTTTAGGCCTTATTAAAAAAATTTTATAAACCTGGTGGACAAATTAAGAGAAAAATTAAAACTAGGCAAAAACCAAGTTTCGACCTGTCAGACTGACCTTGAGAATTTTGCCATTGCAGACCTCTAATCTGTATAATTAAAACTCAATGATATTTTATATTTTTACAAAAATAATTTTGGATTTTCACTTATATTTTTTTATAAAATGCTTTTTATCTAAAAATTTTGAATTTCTTTCTTTTAACTTTTATACTAATTTTTCTTTCTACCCACTTAATTTTTATTGATATTAACACAATCTGGTATTTACAAATTTATTATTCTTTCAAAAAAATTTCTCCTTTAAAAAAATAATATTTTTAAGAAAATTTAGCGTGAACTTTTATAATAAATTTTTTTTATCATAAGGAAGCAACATAAAATCTCAAAATATTCAGAAATTTCCAGCATCCATTTTTTTCACACCAATCATTTTGATCATCTTTTGTTAAATATGTTCTAGCATTCTTCAAAAAATCTAGGCTCTCGAATCAGTAAACTCACAGAAGAACCTCGAGCAGGGTTTTTCTTTTGACATAGACTGGCTGTAGATACCCTTGAACCGATCTACATTACTTTTCTAGATACTTTTCACACCGTATTTCTCTCTCGCTTTGTACCATATTTATTCTTTATATATGTTGTATATAATATATATAGTATGTTTATTTAATTAACAATAAAAAGTTTATATACCAATTTAAAAAAATATAATATTAGCTTTGTGATATAAATGTTTATTTTACTGTTCTGCGGCTATATACGATAGGCCTAATTATTTTTCATGTTATATAAGCAAACGTAAAAATTATAATTGTTGACATAATTATATATTATTATTATTATTCACTCGTTTCACTGATAATCTAACCAAAATAAAACACTACTGATTCTTAATTCTGAGCTAAAATTCCTACAATCACTTAATACCAGCAAATGCGAACTTTGCTCTCCATCCATATCATCTCCCAAAAGAGAATTTCCTCTCATTAATATAACAGATCCCAACTCACAAACTTAGGAGTACCCATTTGTGGAACTAGCAGTTTGCTCCTTCTTAGGCAATTTTATAAGAACAATGCAGGACCTAAAGCCATTACTTCTATTGCACCTATTCATCATTAATTTTTCCTAGTAAAAAATTTCCTTTATGTTGTAATATTCTAATCTACTTTTAAACAAAATCAAGAAAAACGAAGTAATATGCAAATCTACTTTTAAACAGAAAAACGAAAGAAATGTCTGATGCAAATTATTATATTATTTAAGTTCAGACGATGTAAATGAATATTATAGAAAAGGATATATAATTGAGGATATTTTTACTGGTTACGTTTTTATGATTTTTCGCACATAAATTTTAATATTTTACTTTAATTTTTCTTATATTATTTTAATTTCTTTCTTAATTTTTTCTCTTATAATTTTTACTTTTATTTGATAATTAGTATTAAAGGTTATGAATAAAACTTTAAAATCTTAGATTATAGAATACAACAATTTATTTCTCACTCTAATATTCCCTTCCACTTAGATTCCCACCTTCTGCTAAAGACCAAATTTCTTTCGATTTCGGCTTTGATCTTGTATCTCTTCCAAATCTATTTTTCTTAGTCGGGCATGTATCCGATTACTGCTTTATTTCCTTAGCCAACATAAATCACAGGTAGATTCTGTCTCTTGCCTTCGTCTGGTATTGATTAGCTCTTTATCTCTGTAAGCACTGACAAACCTGATTAACGCATGTTTATAAACGATCCACGATTGCTAGTCAACGATTATCGATACCCCGTCTTCAATTCTCCTGGTAAATTATTCTAGTCTTTACTAATGATAAGTGCATTATCTCGGTAAACGAAGGGCGATGCTTCATCTGTGATTAACGACTGTTTTCACGAATTCTTGTTTCTAAGATCATCGATTTTGTATACTATACTAAAGTTTTGATAAGCAATTGGCTATAATTTGTCAACGATTAGCGATTGCTTCCTGGTTTTGACCCCTTGTTCTACCCAGTCGCTTGTCAAGATATCGACTTTGTCCTAAGATCTCTTATACGTTAATGATTTCTTGTATCTTTTGATCCAAAATAAAAATTCGATCTCTAAACGAGCTCGATTGCGGCAAGA